ATGTCTTTTAACTACACGTTGATGATGGTGTGAAAAAAACAGGAGTAGCGTTTCCAATCATGGTTAGTGCGTCTTATCGGGTATGGTTTATTGATGAACTAAAAAAAAATACTCCCTCCGTTTCAAAATATAAGGCGTTTTAGCAAAAAACACGCCGATTAAGAAGATCTACTTTTTAAAAGTTCAGCCAATCATAAAAGAAACTGCATAATAAAAATAATCATAAAATATTAAAGTGATATATAATTTGCATAGAAACTTGAAAACGACTTATATTGTGAAACAAAAAAGTTTTTCTAAAACACCCTATATTTTGAAATGGAGGGAGTAGATGCGTATTGATGCATCTTTCTTACCGCCCTATGTATGGCAAAATATTTTTAAAAGTTTATATAGATCGTAAGCGTTAGAGTTCTTTTGTAAAGCTACCTACGAGAGATATTGTATAATAATATGCATGCAATGCAACTGAGAGAAAATTGTATTAGCAAATAGAAAGACTGAAATTGCTCTTTTACGTCTTATTGGTTGCGTTTCTTCCAATGAATGATAGTAAGCATTGGTAATTCACGTTTTACGAATAAATGGATTGCGACACCAGTAAATAATCTCTTCACTAGTAAACAAATACTAGAAGCTAGGGACCCTAAAAACTTTAATAAAGCATACTCAAAATGTTTTTCTCTTTTCCTTTCTGGGTCAACACCACTCAGATTGTTTTATGAAAAACAATTGGGACACAAGCCTCTCTTCGTCTCGCGCGTCCCCATCACTGTTGAAGCCAAAAGGCCATGCACATATATACGATATACGAACTAATTCTGAATTTCAGAAATATTTTGCATAAATTTTAAACAGATATTATAAATTTATGATTTATGGTGCTTGTTTTTTTTTTCAAAAATGTTAAATTTGTAGTATTATATTTTCTGATGATAAATATATTTGACAAAAACGTGTAATTTTAAATAGTTGTTTGTACTTATTAATTCGAAACAAAACTCACTATGGAGCGCATAAAAATGATAATTAATATACTTAGAGTAGTTAATTGTTGGAATTCGTTGGTTTAAAAATCCAATAGAATTCCGTGGATCCTTCTGTAGTGGATTAATAATAAGCATGAAAAATCTCCAAACAGCTAAGCATCAACCTTTAGTTGTTTAAAATAAGAATAAAAGATTCTCAATTACTCGATTAAGACACTAATCACCACCACAATCTTTACGATTAAAACATTGAACGGCAAAACACAACGTGGACGGTCCAAAAAACACTCACGTGGAGTAAAAATTAGATATACTTTCCCTAAATATAAAAACAGTAAAATATATTGTCTCTCTTTGCCACTTTCGAGGTCCAACCTGTCTCTCTGGTTCCTGCTAATCTGCTATATATCCCAAAACACGATTAGAGCTTTAAGCACATGGTTAGCAACTAAACAATCCTTGTCATTAGCTCCTTAATTTAAGATTATAAATTTCCATAAATAGTTTTCGTAAACGTGGCATTGCAATTTTTTTTTTTTTTTTGTTGCTATGAACACAAGATGCGTCACCGATGACAGCTATAAACGAGGAGGCTTTTCTAGATTGCTCTTGGGTTTGGTCCTAGATTCGTGGGGTGTTAGTTTTTAATATATACTTATAAAGAAAATTCTCTTAATTAATTAGTCTTAATTTATTGCTCTAAGTTTACAATATTCTTTCTATTTTGGTTCTTGCAGCTTTAAACGCGATCTTGTATTATTTTCATGGTGGTCCAAAGTAGTACCTGGCACAACATAGAAGCATGAGATTAATTTACTAATATTTTTTTTAATCAATCGAAGTATTTATACATTAATTAATCGGTTGATATAAAATTATATTTCCTTTTCCAGACATGAACCAATCAGATAAGATCTACATTAGCTCTACAACTAACTACAGTATAATAAATACCAAATTTAACATGTTCGATTCAACATTTTAAAATTCATCTTCTTTAACATTCTATTAGTAGAGTTTGAAATCTCAATTACTTATATAACCAATAGTTGAAATTTGACTTTTTGGTTTAACTATTAACTATTCTCCAAACAGATGCTTTATTTTTCCTTCTAATTGTAACATTATGATTGATAATTTTCATGCAACTCCTTTTTTCTAGATCGTAGGTAGGAGGATATTAGGTTAATTTGACTACGTTAGAGATTTAAATTAGTACGCTTTCGAACAAGTCAAAAGACACCATCGGGTTAGCCACTAAGAAAGCAATCATGATCATATCATTTAATTATAATACTACATTCACCATATACACTCATGCATAAAAATGATTCTTCTCTCTTTATCAAATTTAGATTCCGGAACGTTAAAAAACAATCAAAAATGGATAAAACTCTTAAAAGATAAATTTGAAAGGAACAATTACTCACTTCATCATATTATTGTTAGAGACTAGTAATTTATAAATAATGTCAAACAATTTTCTCTATGGATAGATTAATACACCGTTTATGGATAGATTAATACACAGCGTTTTCAAATATCATTCACGACTTTAGTGATCTGTTTTCTACCCTAATATAATGTGATATCAAAACGAAAATATTAATAACGTTTTGCATAAAAACTAAAAAGCTTTGTTTCCACAACTGTTTTAAGATAACAACAATGATAGGCCCAATATCAATTTTACATTGCAGGGGGCTCTATCATAAGTATAAAAGCCCAATATTTGACCGCAGTTCAGACTTTTTGACTCCTTGTATGAAACCAACAAACTTAAGCCCAAATTATCAACTTAAAATTGAACGTAAGAATATACGGCGCCGTTTTTGTAGACCTGAGTGTGATAAAGTGAAGCTGTTAAATCTTCACTTAACCCCATTTTAAATCACGAAATTAGAGTGGTGATTAAAAAATTATAAGTAAAGTTTTTTCCAGTGATTTGTTTTCATTTATTTAAATTTTAAAAATTAATCCAATTTATCGTTGACGGAAAATTTGGGAGAATTTTCTCGATGGGGAAAGGAGGAGGATGTGTTCCGAGCAAGAAGAAGAAGCCGTCGTCTCTCGCCACCACCGGCGATGGTCCCGGAATCGACGATGACAACGACGCTACTATTGCTCCGATCCAAATTGATGATGATCAAACCACCATTGACGGCGATCGAACAACGGCGACGAATACTGCTGGAACAACAACACCAGCGATTTCTACGGCTGCTAAGATCTCGTCACCGCTCAAGATCTTCGTCGTGTTCTATTCGATGTACGGACATGTGGAGAGCTTAGCGAAGAGGATGAAGAAGGGAGTGGATAGCGTCCAAGGAGTGGAGGCGACGCTGTACAGAGTTCCGGAGACGCTTTCGCAGGAGGTTGTTGAGCAGATGAAGGCGCCGGTTAAGGATTTGGAGATTCCGGAGATTACGGCGGCGGAATTGGCGGCGGCTGATGGATTTTTGTTTGGGTTTCCGACTAGGTATGGTTGTATGGCTGCGCAGATGAAGGCGTTTTTTGATTCGACGGGATCATTGTGGAAGGAGCAGAGTCTTGCTGGTAAGCCTGCTGGATTCTTTGTGAGTACTGGGACTCAAGGAGGTGGTCAAGAGACTACTGCGTAAGCTCTTTCTTCTTTCTTATACTCTTTGGTACCATTTGCATTGGTGCTTAAGTAAAGTAGTTGAATTTGGAGTACAAGTATTCGATTGATATTATCACAGAGTCACAGTGTGAAATAAATGCAACCTTGAATTTGATGTTTATAGGTGGTTGCTAAAACCTGAAAGGTTCTTGTGGTTAGGACTTTGTCTACTACTTTAGAGGAAACTTGTCAGAGATTGCTATAATTCTGGTGAATCTTGCTTGATGTTTGAGTGCTTTATTAACTACACCATTCTTCAATCCAAGGGAAGTTTTGTTTCAGAACTCAATTGAATTGGAGTCCATTCTGAGTCCAATCTGGTGACCATTGAATAGTAACCTGGTCTCTCTTTCCAGTATGATAGTAAGGGGAGATTTTTAAGAAAATGTAAAATGAACTTGATTAGATTAGATTCTCACTTTTCTCAGCACCGATAATTTGCATGTGTTTAAGCTCTGAGATAGATTTGTCAATGTATCTGGACTGTCATCATTTGCACTTACTTAGAGGTCCCTTCAACTGTTTTAGTCCCCAAGTTCTATGGAATTGACTCCCTTATTTTGTTTTTTCACTCGGTTTATGTGATAGTTTGGTCCCTTTACACAAAGCATTGTAGAGAAGCGTAACAATGCGGAATCTTAAAGCTTTTGCGGATTTCTCCAAGTGTGCAAATTTGGATATTTTTATCAACATTCTTTCCACATTAAGATCTGAAAAGTGAAAACACTTGCTGATTCCATTTTTGTGTGTGTTTGTTGCAGATGGACAGCAATCACACAGCTGGTGCACCACGGGATGCTGTTTGTACCCATAGGCTACACATTTGGAGCTGGAATGTTCAAGATGGACTCGATCCGTGGAGGCTCACCTTATGGAGCTGGTGTGTTTGCTGGTGATGGCTCAAGAGAAGCAACAGAAACAGAATTGGCTCTTGCTGAACATCAAGGAAACTACATGGCTGCAATAGTCAAGAGACTTGCTCAACCTTAAAAGAAAAAAAAAAAAAGAAAAAATTGCTTCTTTTATTTTTCTCTTTTCATTCAATTCCTCGTCCCGCTAAATAATCGTATAAAAAATCTTCCTTTCGAAATTTCTTTTTTTTTTATGAGTGTTTTCAGTTTCGCCATTAATGGTTTGTGTGTACATGTTTCTTTTTATATTATTGTGATCATTTATTTCTGTAAAATAAAAACAAATTTCATTACGTGTTCTTCTTTCTCATTGGAGTTGTTGAATGGATATTTTATGAAAACAATTTTCTTATCAAAAAAAAAATATATTTCACAAATCGTTAGTGTAGGAAAATAAAATAATTATTTAGTTGCGTCAGCCATTAGAATTCCTTGAAAGACGTAAAGTTTATAAAACATAACTGTGATACTATATCTGTACTTTATTATATCTATCTACTGCATCTGTGTTCTGTTCGTCCTTGAAGCAGGCAAATTCTTCTCTGAACTCTAAACATCGCCATGTCTGAGATTCTCTCTTCCTTGAGGTCACTAATGGCCTCTCACTCTCCTCCTCTTGACGCTTTGGTTGTTCCTTCCGAAGACTATCACCAGGTCTGATTATTTTCAATTGAATTAAATTACCCCTTTTTGATTCATGATCCGATCTCAGATTACTTAGTCATATATTGTTTCATTGATTTGAATGGAAGTTCCGATTTTTTAATTGTATTTAGAGCGAGTATGTTTCTGCACGAGACAAACGCCGTGAGTTCGTGTCTGGATTCAGTGGGAGTGCAGGTGGGTTCTGTTTTCTTTTGTTCTGGATTCGAATATCGTTATAATTGAATCCTTGATCGTGAGAATCGGATCATAATTGAATTTGATCGGCGATTGTATAGGTTTGGCACTTATCACGAAGAACGAAGCAAGGCTTTGGACTGATGGTCGATACTTCTTGCAAGCATTGCAACAGCTTAGCGATGAGTGGTCACTAATGCGGATGGGAGAAGATCCTCTTGTTGAAGTTTGGATGTCAGATGTTAGTCCACACTAATCTCTTTATGAATCGATTATTTTGAAATTTTGAGATGTGTTCTTTGATTGAGTTTATGGTTTGACAATGTAGAATCTACCTGAAGAGGCAAACATAGGTGTTGATTCATGGTGTGTCTCGGTAGACACTGCGAACAGGTGGGGAAAATCTTTTGCCAAGAAGAATCAGAAACTAATCACCACAACAACTGATCTTGTGGACCAAGTTTGGAAGAGTCGTCCACCTTCTGAGATGAGTCCAGTTGTTGTTCATCCCTTGGAGTTTGCTGGCCGTTCTGTTTCCGATAAATTGGAAGATTTGAGGGCAAAGCTTAAGCAAGAGAGTGCGCGTGGGTTTGGTCATCGCTGCTCTTGATGAGGTTTGCTTTAGTAGAAAATGATCTCTCTTTTCTCAGTTCATCTTTGGAATGTGATGATTGGGGTTTTACGCCGTTTGATGCAGGTTGCTTGGCTATATAATATCCGTGGAACTGATGTCGCTTATTGTCCGGTTGTTCATGCGTTTGCAATCCTTACAACCGATTCTGCGTTTCTCTATGTTGACAAAAAGAAAGTGTCCGATGAGGTGTGGCTTTTGTTTTTGTTTTCAGAAAATATGCATAATTGTGCTATAGCTTGTTCTATAACTTCTGAATTTTCTATGTTCTAATGAAGGCAAACGCTTATTTCAATGGGCTCGGTGTAGAAGTCCGGGAATACACAGATGTGATCTCAGATGTCGCCTTGCTTGCTTCGGATCGACTTATTTCTTCATTTGCCTCTAAAACTGTTCAATCTGAGGCTACAAAGGACATGGAGATTGATGCTGACCAGCATGATCGGTTATGGGTGGATCCTGCTTCGTGCTGCTATGCACTTTACTCCAAATTGGATGCCGAGAAGGTCCTTCTGCAACCATCTCCTATATCCCTCTCAAAAGCCTTGAAGGTAATAATGAATGCTTTTGGAGAAAAGTGACCTCTTCTGACGTGTTATGGTTTACTTATACATGCTTCTTCTCCGTTGTGTTAGAACCCAGTTGAGCTCGAAGGGATCAAGAACGCACATGTTCGTGATGGTGCTGCTGTTGTCCAGTACCTTGTTTGGCTCGATAAACAGGTACTGAATAAACGGAAATTATGTTTCCTGAACACTACTACATCGATGATTGATTATGTCACTCAACATTGTTAAAACTATAGATGCAGGAGCTCTATGGAGCATCTGGATATTTCTTGGAAGCAGAGGCAAGCAAAAAGAAACCATCGTAAGCTTCCTTCTTCTTTGTTTTGTTTTTCCAGATTTGTCAAAACATTTTTCTCCATAATTCTTCTGGAAAAAACAAAACAATACAGAGAGAGCTCTAAGCTTACTGAAGTGACTGTGAGCGATAAGCTGGAAAGTCTCCGAGCTGCAAAAGAGGTAATGTTTTACATATATATTAACAAAGTCAAGACTTTTGTCGTTCCATAAAAGAGGCGAATCACATTTCTCGTGTTTCTTTTTTCATGTGGTTGCAGCATTTTAGAGGTTTAAGCTTTCCTACTATATCATCGGTTGGTTCAAACGCTGCTGTTATTCATTATTCACCAGAGCCAGAAGCTTGTGCCGAGATGGACCCAGACAAAATTTACTTATGTGATTCAGGAGCACAGGTAGTATCACATGATTGAGTATATACTATAGGCTTCCCTTGAATCTAATTCAAAGTCTTTGCTCTATAATAAAATTTGGTTGTTGTCTTTCTGCAAAGTATCTCGATGGAACAACTGATATAACCCGAACAGTTCACTTTGGAAAACCTTCAGCTCATGAGAAGGAATGCTATACTGCGGTATGTACTTATTGATGAAACTTTTTGAATATTACATACTTATTTATTTGGAGTAAGCATATTTGCTGATATATGGTCAATGTGCCTCATCCTTAGGTCTTCAAGGGTCATGTTGCACTAGGAAATGCTCGGTTTCCAAAGGGAACAAACGGTAAGTTATGATCTCTTTGAATTTTGTTTCTGTTCCAACTAGTGATTCTCTTTTTAAGGAAAAGTGATTTGTTATATGTCGAATTGGCTATATCCGAATTTACAGGTTATACACTTGATATTCTTGCTCGAGCTCCTTTGTGGAAGTATGGGTTGGATTATCGACATGGTACTGGTCATGGAGTTGGTTCTTACCTTTGTGTTCATGAAGGCAAGTGATGATATACTTCTTTTTATCTCTCTTTCTTATAATAACATATTGAGTCATTGACAATAAAGTTTTTGAAATTCTAAATATGATCAACTAACTTTCTGCGATGATTATGTATGGTTTAATATGTAGGGCCTCACCAAGTTAGTTTCAGACCGAGTGCTAGGAATGTACCTCTTCAAGCTACCATGACTGTAACAGATGGTCTGTCTACAACAAAAGCTCGGTATTTCTCCTGTTCGGTTAACCTTAATCATATTCTAAGAGCCGTCTGTATTTATTTATTTTGCAGAACCTGGTTACTATGAAGACGGGAACTTTGGTATTAGGCTGGAGAATGTTCTTGTTGTCAATGACGCTGAGACCGAATTCAATTTTGGCGACAAGGGCTACTTGCAATTCGAGCATATCACTTGGGTACTTGCTCGTTGTCTCTTAACTATTCCGTTGTTCTCTTATCAACACGCACATCTGAGTAACTCTCTATCTCTCTCTCCAGGCACCATATCAAGTGAAACTTATCGATCTAGATGAGCTGACACGGGAAGAGATTGATTGGTTAAACACATACCATTCGAAATGCAAAGACATCTTGGCCCCATTCATGAACCAGACTGAAATGGAATGGCTCAAGAAAGCTACCGAACCTGTAAGTGTATCGGCTTAATCCCCTCCCAGATTTCTCTTTAATAGATGTTTATCAATGGCTTTGTCACTTCTCTCACTAGTAAACCAAAAATATTCAAGTCATTACACAGATTATTTCCTTTAGTTTGCAATCAAAGTTCATGTTTCTGGACCACATGTCTTTTATTCATAGAAGATTCTCAGTTCTTGAACCTGGTTTATATCTTCTAGGCTCACAAATAAAACATTATCGTTTTGATACTTTATTATATTGTCAATTTTTGCTAATTAGTTTTAGGTGAAGGAAGCAGATGGAATGTGACTCTTCTTGAGAGCTTCTTCTGCTGTCTTCTTCAGTTCCTTAACATTCTTTCTCATCTCTTTTCCTTCTTCTTCATCCATCACTCTCTTCACCATTTCAACTATCTCTTCCTTCTTTACAATCCCATCTGCAACATTAACCCGCAACGCAATCTTTAGCTCCCCAGAAACCATCCATGCGTTCATCTTTTGCTCTGAGTACAACGGCCAAGCTACCATTGGCACACCATTCACAATACTCTCCAAAACTGAGTTCCATCCGCAGTGAGTCACAAACGCTCCTGTTGACTTGTGTGCCAGAATCTCCTCTTGTGGGGCCCATGTCCGGACCACCAAACCGATGCCTTTGGTCCGGTCTAGAAACCCTTTGGGTAAGAAATCGAGTGGTTCTGTCTCATTCTTGGTCTTGTCGAACATTGATGCAGATGGGTCGTCTTCAGCCGGTGGTCTGACTACCCAAACAAATCTGTGGCCAGTCAGCTCCAAACCGTAAGCCAGCTCGTTCGTCTGCTCGGCGGTTAGTGCCCCACCACTCCCAAAAGAAACATAAACCACTGACTCTTTGGGTTGTAAGTCAAGCCAGTCCAGCACGCCATGTTTCAAACCCGGTTCTGCTGGTCTAACCAGCGGTCCAACAGGATAAACCGGCACTCCTCTCATAACCCGACCGAGATTCTCTGGATCCAGGAAAGACCCGATCGTCACTTGCTCCAGACTGTGCCACGTATTCACAAAGACCCCATCTGCGGTTATCACCTCAGCCCCAATTCGCTGAGACTCGGCGAGTTCCCGAATATATTTACTCGGATCTTGAGCCCGCTCAAACTTAACCGGGCTGCATCCGGGTATAAGCAATGCTCCTATGCTACTCAACTGCTTATACAACTCCTGCTTGTCAAGACTCGCCATATAAACCGTGAAAGCTAGAAACCAAGCACTGGTAGTAACCAGAACATGTTTTCTCATGATCTGAAGCTCCCTAGCCACCACTAAAGCTTCTGTGCCCAACAAGTCAACTACAAAAACCCTAGGCCGTGGTTCTAACTCCATGACTGCAGACCTGATCTCCGGTACTGCCTTCCTCATCATCTCTGCTAGTTTAGTCAAAAGAGAACCGCTCAGATCTTGACCCGAAACATCAAGTTGAATAAACTTGATCACAAATTTTGGATCTTCTTCCTTTAACGTTTTGCCAATTAAGGATTTCGAACGTGAGATATCGTCTGTGACTAGGAAGACGGTGATGCGGTCGAAACCGTTATGGTTCAGGAGATGTTTACCGAGTTCTAAGATGGGTACGGCATGTCCCATACCCGGACTAGCCACTAGAGCTCCGTGAAGTTCCATGGTCCTCAAGAGTTTTTTTAGTAATCTGCTTTCTTAAATTGGTGGAATGAGAATATGTTTGGTGATTGGACGCATTTGTGTTGAATATATAAAGAAGAATGACGGGATTATTAAGATTACAGTTATCGAAATGGACGAACATCTCACAGCAATAAATCATTATAACGGATTGAATATAGTAACATATATACCAAAAAAACTAAACATTCAAAAAATACATTAATTGAACTGTAGTTGGATTAAATACTTGTAACAAGTGGTAAGATGTTAATTTTTTGTTCACCAAGTGTAACGTTGTACAAAGACCTAACGTATAATAGTTGTGTTTGAGCCGACGTTTGTTTCGCGTGTTATGATGATGTTTAGATGAGATGAGCCAGGCATAGAAACATGGTTCAAGATGTGTTTGTTTGTTTTACCTTGTTTTAGACAAAGCTACAAAATGCGATCTTGTGACTTGTTGAAACTTACTAGTTATATCTTAAAATGTAAATGGATCCAAACTAAACAGCTAGTTATATATGATAAGAAGCAATTCAGTCTCACGTGGACCCAACGTGGGTCATCTCGTAGTTCCCTCATCAAATGGGCAATGTAAGTGTTGTCTTGTACCGTGAATTACGACAAACGAAAAAAAAAGTATTTAACTACAACATGCGATGATAACAATAATAGTATCAACAATAGTATAAAGAGAAAGAAAATTAAAAATACAAGTGCAATTCAAATGGTTGGAAGAAGTTGTTGTTGTTTAGGTCCCAACAAAAGTGAAAAAAATAGACAGACCACATGGTAGGGGTCCATTATCCTCCGCTCGTGGAGGTTTCCTTTTACATCACCTAACTCAGCACAACAAACTCTAAACTAATCACAATTATTCACAGGAAAACAAAAATTCAAATCTTGAAAGCAAAATGGATATCATTTCATATTACTACTATATCCGTAAAGATTAAATAACTTCATACACTATTAAGTCTCTCTACAAATTGATTTTTTCCAAAACCCAATCTTTATCCTGTGATCAACAAACCCATATTATATATCTCTAAAAACATTATCATCATCACAGAGAAAAATTAAGTATAAACGGAGAATGTAACGGTATGTTAAGGTTCGACCCTTTTCGAACTTCCACGGCCATGCGAGCTCCGGCTCCAATGTACTGTACAATGCTGAAGATTTGCTCTGTTATGGTCCACAAGGAGACTGATCTTTTACCACCATTTTCAAACTGATTTCAAGTTCGATTTTTCAGCATCGGGCTTTAGTGCCACCGAGAGTGAGTTCGAGATCTTCTACGCCAACTTCATGAATCATTTCGCCTTCCCATGGCTTGACTGTTCCATTCTCGAACTCAAACTCTGTACCTCTCCCATTCATTCCTGACATTCCCCAATCTGATCTTTTCATTTCAATGGCCATAGATGTTTGCTGAACAAGATTGAATGTTGGTGAAGTAGGAGCTGTAGATTGAAAATTGATCCACCTTCCTGAATCCTCAATCGATTCCTCCTCGGACTCATCACATTCCGGTATTGTAGGTGGTGTTTGGTGACCAGCACGACGAGTAGGACTAGATGGAGCTGAGATAGCGAAAAGCGGATGCCTCAAAACGTGTAAAGACCCGCCATTCGGTAATTGTTCTGAAGTGAGTTTCCGCTTCGAACCGCGAGAAGTAGGAGAAGACAACGGAGGAGTCACGGGCGCACTGTTGGATATTCTAAGCGGCGGAAGGTTTGCAGGAATAGAAGAAGCGATGTTGTGTAGGAACGGAAGGAGAAGGTACGAAGAAGGATTTCCATCGTAGCGAGATGGACTCGGGAAGGATGATGAAACGGGACTTCCGTGGTAAGAAGGTGCAGGACTTGGAAAAGCAGATGATTGTGGACTTGGTTGGATTGAAGAATTAGTGCTGAAGTTTGTAGGAGTTCCTGAAATATCTGATGCTGGTGGCTTAAAACCCTGTTTCCACAAGAATCAACCATTGAGAAAGACTAAACAAAATCAAAACCACATGATGATATGATGCAAAGTTCACCATCATAGTCAAGAAGCAAAGAGATTTCCCAAAAGAATTCCCCAATAATCAAACTTAGATGTTCTACAGAATTAGCTAAATATAGCATCAATTTCAGCTAATTCAAAGTAGAAACCATCAAATTCATAATCAGATCTAATCACGAAGACCAGATTCCAATCCAAAATTGGGGGAAGTTGAAAATCCAACCCAATCGAACAGTGAAAACCAAATCGAAATCTCAAAATCTCAGAGTCTCTAACAATTGAAACAGAACAATTTCCGCAGATTGAATTATGAATAATTGAGAGAAGGAAGCTCAGATTCCGATCTAAAAATTGAAATCGGGATTACCTTGCGATAAGTGGTACCGTCGTCTTCGACGATCCAACCAGCTTCAAGACAGAGAGCTTTAAGAACCTCGTTGTTATCACAGTGCTTAGGAAGCTTATAGTTACCTTGAGCTCTAAGACCAGAGTAAATCTTAGCAGTGATGGCTCTTCTTCTTCTTTCCCTCTTCTTATTGTTCTCTCTCTCTTTCCACGTCGGAGTTCGTCCCGACGATGATCCTCCTCCTCCTCCTCCTCCGGCCGCCATTGAATCTATCTCTTAAGTTTTTTTTGTTGGGGTCTGAAGTCTTTGTCAGTCTGGCGCACGAGGGAGAGAGAGAGAGAGAGTAAGCTTTCTTTTTTATTATTTTGATTTTTTTTTTTTTTTTTGGGTGTGTGAGAGTCTGAAGCGGATTGGCTGTAACTTTCAATCATCTACATATACATTTTTATATTACTTTTTTGCTTTAATTCTTTTGGATCCGGATTTGACCCGGATTTTAGTCTATTCGGATCTTGGATTAGCAATTTAAGGGATGTTGTCTTAATTTCAAACTAATAAATGAAGCCATGTTGTCTTAATATCTTTCATATTAATGACCCTAATAAATAGCCGATTTTAATGGAAAATCGTTTTCATATTTATGCTCATAATAAATGTCCAGATTTTAACAATATATACATATATTATGAAATTATAAAGAAAAAAACGTATTTATTTTTTTAACAGTATATATATATATATATTATGTTAATAAATTTGTTTAATATTCTAATAATAAGCTATGTCATTTTTCTTTTACAATAACAGATTAAATATACGCAATTGCCCATTTAAATTGCAATAAATTTAAAATCAAAATAACAATCTACATATATATTTTTGCAGGTTTTTTTGCTTTTAATAATTTGGATCCGCGTTTTACTCGGTTTTACTATATCCGGATCTTGGATAAGACATTTAAGGAAATCTAAAAAAACCCGTCATTAATGAGATAATTACACATATATTTCGGTATAAGCATATTCCAAAAATCTCTCCCAAATCAAAGATGTTACGTTCAAAAATTGTTGCCAAAAATCTCTCGCTTTCCTTCTAAATCTCTAACATTGGCTGTCATCCCAACTAATTACTCATAATTATCTTTCCTATATTTCTTTTTTTTCGAGATTTGCAAGAAAATTATTCAATTCCAAAAATAAAAGATTTTGAAGATATTGTGTACTTGATCAGCAAGATTTTAGGAACTCACTCACCCAAAACCCTATAGTATTCTCAAAACATTATAAATACCTTTCATTAATTAGTCTAATAAAAACTCACCAGTTTTATAGAAAATGAGAAATCGCAGATGTGATGCAATCTGTACGGACTCCGGGAAGAGCTAGGAGACAGTGGTGAACCGGGATCTAAACCTCGCCGACGATGTGAAGATGGTGACGAGGAGGAGATCGTAATTCTTTAGGTTTCGATTGGCAAAACAAGACGATCGGCGATCCAAAGCTCCACCGCCTGAAACGCAACATCGAATTGATCACACCGAATATCTTCAGATTTCGGATATGCTTTTCCAGTGGTAGCTTCAAAATACACGCCGGGAACTCCTTGATACGCTACACGGAGAGTAGATCCATGCGTTTTGCTGCAGCTTTGAAGAAACAAGGCTCAGATCGACGGAGCCGTTACTGTGACCGTTAACGACGGTGACTTCATCTGCTAAACCACCGATGATTGAGTTTGAACTTTCCGTTTCTAAGTTTTTCATTTTGGGTATATGAGAGAGTTGAATAAAAACAAATTGGGTTCTGTAGGTCTTTACAAAATTGGTAGACATGATTCTTTGTTATTGGGTTCTAATACTCTATGTGTTTATTTTTTCATTATGTGAACTAATGAAAGTTGCATACTTAAATTTTTTTTCATGGCAGTTCTAAACATATTATTTTTAATATTTGTGATTATATAACAATAATAGGTTAGTGTTAATTACATGGATCACTAAGGTTTGAATAGTGATAAAATAATTAGAAAATACAAATAAAATAACAAGGCCGGTGCAAAACTATTAATTCAGACCTTAATTATCGGATCAGTTCAAGCTTTAACCCATGTCTTTTTCTGAAATTGCTAAAAATAAGTAATGTTCTCAAATAAATTCAAATATCAAATCTTCATAAATACATTAAATACGTAAGATTTAAAATTATGGAGCAATCTTTTCTAATTAAATTCAAAAATTTCTAATTCAAAAATTTATAATTCAAATATTTCTAATTGATATAGTTAAATTTTTTGGCTTTTGTTTGCCCATTTAGCTATGGTTTTTGAGTTTTTATAAAATATTTTAAATATTACGGGACGAATTGTATGATACGGGTTTGGTTAGGATTGATATTAATGTAAATTTAAAATATCACTAATACATTGCTATAACACATATTAAATCCTCATTTTATTATTTAAAATTTAGCATACGGTATACCGCGAGTAAAATCAGTATAAAACGGTTTAAATCAGCATCTTATTCAAAATCATACAATTGAATCTATTGTTTTTATACTACGTCTATCTATAAAATTTCGATTTTTGTAATAAAATTTCGTCTCACGGTATTTTATACATTTAAATTAAACAAAACAATAATATATATCTATAGAGTATCTTAAAACAAAACTTAATAAATTTTTCTAATAAAAATATAGACCCGCGGTGTACCGCGGGTTAACATCTAGTAAGTATAAATAAATTCAAATATTCATTTGTCTCCGCACGTGCGATCTCTGTCTACACGTGTGATCGATATTTTGGAAGTCAGCTTACACGTGTCCTATTTATGTAACGCACGAGCTGTGGTCCCCTCCCGTTGCTTCCCTTCCTTCCCCTGTTCAATGAATTCGTATCTTCTTTTTTTATTTCTCTTTTTTTAATTATATTGAGTATTTCTTTTTTTCTTTTTTTTAATTTTTTTTTTTGCTTTTTGGTAGAATAAATATAACAAGATTCTAATAAGTTGCATTGGTTTTATAGTTTTTAAAATGACGACATAATTGCATATTGTAACGCATTAAAACGGCATATTGTAACGCAATTAATACAAGGGGACTCATAAAAGTTTCACACAAAACTTCTTGTCATCCTTATTTTGTATTTTCTTCGAATTGTAAAACCGTAAATTCCAAACTGATCTCATTTTCCTAATATAATATATTCTCTAAAATATAAATTTAACTTGAAATTATATATAGGCATCTAAATGGTTTAAAACGGTCATATTGGATAACTTGATTGATGTTAATAAATAAAAAATGTATCCACATATTTAGGGAAACTAAAACTTAATTAAAAATAGAAATAAGAAAACAAACACCAATTTGCCTATCGTGGTCGGAGCACGTGCGGCTCCAGTTAGGCGTGAGCAAAAGACAGGAAGCAGAATCACCCAGCTGGACTCATGCCATTATTATTTTTAGCCAACCTATTAATAATTAATCAAATCCTATTTACATACTATTTTGTTAAATTTTCACAATCTTAAATTAATTTTTAAAAAATCCTAAAATGTCATTTGTTTTCATTGCAAACCAATCAAATGAAACAAAAACATTTCTAATAATTGTGTTTATTACTTTATTCTAACAAACCACGTCTTCTCATTCATATTCACAAATCCAAAAACTACAAATGCAAAAACTAAAGTATATAGATAAAATCGGTGATGCGCAAAATTCCAATCTGGCAGAGTGACTTTGGATCAGATCATTCACGTGGGGGGAATCTTTAACATAATTTCAATTTGTACGGCGTGGTCACGTACATTTAATCTATTTGCTTTTTATTTTAATCGTTGATTAATCTAATTAATCGTGCGGCGTCCATTAAGTCCTAATCCAACTATCATTCACTAATCACTATTGTTCAATGCATCGGTCAATATTGGTTAGTATTGCGTTTTTAAATTATTTGTGCGTTTGTAAACGTTTCGATTTGTTGGCTACATTTTAACATTATTCTTAAATCAAAATAATATTTATCAGTAGCAGATTTCTGCATGTAGACATTATGAAATTGTCAGACAACCGAAAATCTCGGGATTTATTTTTTAACGAATTTGGGCATTTCGTTATTAAATTAATAAATTGAATGAAACATGATTTAAAGAAAAAAGAAATACTAAAAAAGAACATGATTTGTCAACACCAAGTCTGAGGCCCATGGGCCCTTAATTCAAATGTATTGGCCATGATTTAATTACCAAGATTAACATATAACTTAAATTATACGTTACCATCTCTATTCACATCCAAAAAATGGATAAAGATATATGTAATTCATGTTCTCTGACACTAACCCTGTAACGATCCACCCACCAAGCTACGTTACGTGCCTAATGATGGTTTAAATCCAATAAATACGTTAATCTACATAATTAATAACCACTTCAAGACTTATCAGAATCATCCAAAAAATATGACGTCAATAACAAAAAGAATATCCAAAATCTAATAATTAATAGTATATTCGGCGGGTCTTTAATCGTACGAGAATGCTATCGGTGTCGGAACTTTAGATCCGATATTATAGAAAGCAACCAAACTCCGGGTCCGGTTAATCGGGAGTTCAAGTTTTGGGATTTTGATGGGCCGTGCTCGAACTCGTACCGGTTTCATCTCCGTCGCTTTTAAATTCATCCGGTCTCTGTTCCCTCGCAACCACCGTACTAATAGCATGAAGATAAAGTTAGCTCATTTTTGACTTTTCTCCTTTTGGGTTTTATCTTATTCGATTCAGAATCTGTATATACTTTAGGGTTCTTAGCTTGGCTCTTTAGATTTGTTTAATCGATTACTTATCTTTGAATTTAGTAGTCATCACAAAAAAATGTTTAACTGTTTTATTGTCTCTGGTTCTGAATCTTACAAAACTCAAAACTTTTCTTTTGTTTTATCTGTTTTTTGAACAGAACAGGAACGTTTTTGGGTGTTTCGATTTCATTGATTCTTATAAACTTAGCTGCGATCATGGAACGAGCAGACGAGAATCTATTACCGTCGGTTTATAAAGAAGTGAGTGAAGCATTTAACGCAGGACCATCAGATTTAGGCTACTTAACGTTCGTTAGAAACTTTGTTCAAGGACTTGCTTCTCCATTAGCAGGAGTTCTTGTCATTACTTATGATCGTCCCATTGTTCTTGCAATTGGTACTTTCTGTTGGGCTTTATCAACTGCTGCAGTTGGAGCCAGCAGTTACTTTATTCAGGTATTTTTGATCTGTTTCTTTAAGGATTTTGATTTTGAAGTGATAAGTTTTTGAACTGATCTTTTGGGTTTCTTGTGATTTAGGTTGCTTTATGGAGAGCAGTGAATGGGTTTGGATTGGCAATTGTTATACCGGCGCTTCAGTCGTTTATCGCAGATAGTTACAGGGATGGTGCCAGAGGAGCTGGTTTTGGTTTGTTGAACCTCATTGGTACGATTGGTGGTATAGGAGGAGGTGTTGTAGCGACGGTTATGGCTGGTTCAGAGTTTTGGGGCATACCGGGCTGGCGCTGTGCTTTCATAATGATGGCAACGCTCAGTGCAGTGATCGGATTACTCGTCTTTCTCTTCGTTGTTGACCCCAGAAAGAACATTGAACGGTAAAAAACACTCAAAAATTGTCCCTGATTTTTAAGACTAAGACCAAAAGTTTGATGAGGTTTTGGGCTTGTAATGTAGAGAGGAACTAATGGTTCATAAGATGAATTCGACCTCGGTTTGGAATGATTCATGGGCGGCTGCAAAATCTGTCGTCAAAGTAAGTACCTTTCAGATAATCGTCGCACAAGGAATCATTGGTTCGTTTCCATGGACCGCAATGGTTTTCTTTACGATGTGGTTTGAGCTTATTGGTAAATGGCAATTCCTGCAAAAACTTTGAACATCCATTATTGGTCAAGAACTGAGATCTTGAATGTAAACCCGTCTTTTCTTTGTTTGTTTTAGGTTTCGATCATAACCAGACTGCAGCTTTGCTTGGGGTATTTGCTACGGGAGGTGCGATAGGAACATTAATGGGAGGGATAATCGCGGATAAAATGTCACGGATATATCCAAATTCTGGAAGAGTGATGTGTGCGCAATTCAGTGCATTCATGGGAATCCCATTCTCAATCATTCTTCTGAAAGTAATCCCACAAAACACAAGCAGCTACACAATCTTCTCAATAACTCTCTTCTTGATGGGTCTTACCATAACTTGGTGCGGATCAGCGGTTAATGCACCGATGTTTGCAGAAGTCGTTCCTCCTAGACACCGTACGATGATCTACGCGTTTGACCGTGCTTTTGAAGGGTCATTCTCGTCTTTTGCTGCGCCTTTGGTTGGAATTTTGTCTGAGAAAATGTTTGGGTATGACTCGAGAGGTATTGATCCTTTGAAAGGTTCCTCTGTTCGTGAGGCTGATGCCCTATCAAAGGGGCTTCTGTCGATGATGGCTGTTCCGTTTGGGCTCTGTTGTCTCTGTTACACTCCTTTGCATTTTGTTTTCCAGAAAGATCGGGAAAACGCGAAAATCGCGAGCTCTAAAGAAACTGAAATGATTTGAGAGACTTAGATTGCTCATGTTGTGATTCTTTTTAATACCACAAACGATTTTGAAACCACAATGTGAAGCAGAATTGGACTTATAAACCGAAACAGAAGAAACCAAATTCATAGCAAAACTTTTAACCGAGACCAACAGAATTTGAAAGTTGAAAACACCTTTTTTTTGTTTTTGCGTTTTAGTTCTGATGAAACCTAATAAATCAAACTTATGTATATATGATTTAAATTTTAATCTAAACCTGAATAAAATTCGAACACGTGACCTTTTAACGGAATTTGCAAATTGCGATTAGAAAAATAAGACCGTTGTAAACGGTCATTAATTGTGATCAATTGCCTTTTTTTCCAAATATGAAAAAAGGAAAACAATCTAATGTTTCCATTTTTTTTTGCGTGAACCTTTCCTTATAAATATTCATCTCTCTTCCTTCTTGAGAAATCATAATTCTTCTTCTAAAAAAAACTCTTCTTTTCTCTGCTATTGTTTTTACAAAGACAATAATCGTCTAGCACGAGAGACCGTGAAATTGATGATCCATATATATCGCCGAACTGTACCAACGCCAAGTCTCTGCGAGAGAGGTCTCTCGTGTTTGATTATGGAGGATTAATCCGAGTTCCGGCAACGAGTTCGAGGTGACGACGCAAATTACGGATGCATCTTCTATTTCTTCCCTATCGTCGTCGAAAGCTCTCACTGCGGATTCATCGGTAAGTCTTATTCTTTCGAAATCTGTTTAATTCTTCATGGATCACCAAATCTGGTTCCTTCTCTCGATAGTTCTAGGGTTTAGATACATGAGAAGAATTCGAACTGAATTGTTAGTAACTACTGAACTATGTCTCTGTGATTCATCGTATTACTTTAAATTTAGTTCCATAAGCTTTGTAATTAAGTTCATGTGCTACTATGTGATAGATCTCTAAACTTGTCTTGATCATTAGATACAGAAGATGGATTACAGTGATAAATTTTCATTCTTTCTATACTTTTATCTGATTACCTTGTCATTGTATCAACAGTGGATTTGGTTTTGTAGTGATGAGTGAACCTAAAGAGTAGGAATAAGTTTGAAAACAGAAATATTTGAACATTGCATTAACACATCTATGGCTTTAACGTTGCAGGGATTAGAGCTTCAACAAAACCCACAATGGTTTCGTATCCTGCTACCACAGAGACGATTTCCCTGGCTTTAGAAGCCAACGGCTCCAAGGCTATTCCGATATCGTATCAGGTTTCTTAATCTTTCTTAATTTCCTTTTTTTTTATATATATATTAAGATTTTGATTTCTTTATTAATTCACATTATAGATAATAATCGAATTGGTGAAAACAATATTTTAAATTATAGATTTTCGGATTTCAAACAAAAATAAAAGCTTTTTCTTAACTAATATTGTTAAATAAAATATTTTATTTTTAAAAACTATTTTCAAACTTAAATATTAAATTTAAATATGTGAAAACGGTTAGACTTAGCATCCCGTCCTTTTGGTCCGTAAGTCTTGTGGTGTCATAAGTTCAACATGTTTTCACGTATTTAAATTTAATTTTAAGGTTTTTTCAAAAATAATGTTTTAAGTAAATCGTTTATATATTTTTTAAGTAAATTTTTTTTATTATATAAGATATTTTCAAACTTAAATGTTAAATTTAAATACGTGAAAACGGTTAGACTTAGCATCCCGTCCTTTTGGTCCGTAAGTCTTGTGGTGTCACAAGTTCAACATGTTTTCATGTATTTATATTTAATTTTAAGGTTTTTTCAAAAATAATGTTTTAAGTAAATTGTTTAGATATTTTTTACCTAAAAGTTTTTTTACTATACAAAATATTTTCAAATTTAAGTGTCAAATTTAAATACGTGAAAACGGTTAGACTTATCATCCCGTCCTTTTGGTCCGTAAGTCTTGCGGTGTCATAAGTTCAACATGTTTTCACGTATTTGGATTTAATTTTAAGGTTTTTTCAAAAATAATGTTTTAAGTAAATCGCTTGTATTTTTTTAGCTAAAAGTTTTTTATTATATTCAAACTTAAATGTTAAATTTAAATACGTGAAAAAGGTTAGACTTAGCATCCCGTCTTTTTGATCCGTAAATTTTGCGGTGTCATAAGTTCAACATGTTTTCACGTATTTAAATTTTGATTTAAGGTTTTTTCAAAAATAACGTTTTCAGTAAATCGCTTGTATTTTTTTAGCTATAAGTTATTTGTTATATAAAATATTTTCAAACTTAAATATTAAATTTAAATACGTAAAAACGGTTAGACTTAGCATCCCGTCCTTTTGGTCCGTAAGTCTTGTGGTGTCATAAGTTCAACATGTTTTCACGAATTTAAATTTAATTTTAAGGTTTTTTCAAAAATAATGTTTTAAGTAAATCGTTTAGATATTTTTTACCTAAAAGTGTTTTTAGTATACAAAATATTTTCAAACTTAAATATTAAATTTAAGAGAAGGGGTTTTTTTTTGCAAAAATGCCCCTTTTTCAATGCCACTTTTCAAAAATGTCCTTTTTTAAAAACCTTATAAAAAATGCTCTTAAAAATATAAGATTTACCCAAATATGTATGTAACATTATTAAAACATACACAAACAACATTTCTATGTATCTAAAATCTTATAAATACTTTATAAATACCTTATAAATGCATTTTAAATACCTTTAAAAACCTTTAAAATATATTGTAAAACCTTTGAAAAATCTTAAAATCCTTTAAAATAACTTGTAAAACCTTTAAAAACACCTTATAAAACCTTATAAATACTTGGATCGAGTCTTCAAGTAGTAGTTACAATCCATAAATACCTTATAAACCTAATAAAACTTTATAAAATTTTCAGATTTAAAAAGGGACATTTTTGAAAATGGACATCTAAAAGGGGCATTTTTGAAAAAGGGCACACCAAAAGAGGTATTTTTAACAATTTCCCTTAGAATACGTGAAAACGGTTAGACTTAGCATCCCGTCCTTTTGGTCCGTAAGTCTTGCGGTGTCATAAGTTCAACATGTTTTCACGTATTTAAATTTAATTTAAGGTTTTTTCAAAAATAACGTTTTAAGTAAATCGCTTGTATTTTTTTAGCTATAAGTTTCTTATTATATAAAATATTTTCAAACTTAAATATTAAATTTAAATACGTGAAAACGGTTAGACTTAGCATCCCGTCCTTTTGGTCCGTAAGTCTTGTGGTATCATAAGTTCAATATGTTTTTACGTATTTCGATTTAATTTTAAGGTTTTTTCAAAATTAATGTTTTTAAGTAAATCGTCTAAATATTTTTTAGCTATTAGTTTTTTATTATACAAAATATTTTCAAACTTAAATGTTAAACTTAAATATATGAAAACAGTTAGACTTAGAATCTCGTCCTTTTGATCCGTAAGTCTTGTGGTGTCATAAGTTCAACATGTTTTCACGTATTTAGATTTAATTTTATGGTTTTTTTTCAAAATTAATGTTTTATGTAAATCGTTTAGATATTTTTTGGCTATTAGTTTTTTAGTGTACGATATATTTTCAAACTTAAATGTTAAACTTAAATACGTGAATACGGTTACACTTAGCTTCCCGTCCTTTGGTCCGTAAATCTTGTGGTGTCATAAGTTCAACATGTTTTCAAGTATTTAAATTTAATTTTAAGTGGTTTTTAAAAAAATAATTTTTAAGTAAACCGTTTAGATATTTTTTAGCTTAAAAGCTTTTTATTATACAAAATATTTTTATTAACAAAATGTTTTCAAACTTAAATGTTAAAATTTAAATATGTGGAAACAGTTAGACTTAGCATCCCGTCCTTTGGTCCGTAAGTTTTGTGGTGTCATAAATTCAACATATTTTCACGTATTTAAATTTTTTTTCTGTATAAAATATTTTAAAACTTAAAGTATTAAATTTAAATACGTGAAAAGTGAAAACTAACCGGATTTATAGCATTCTGTCCTTTGGTCCGTAAGTCTTGTGACTTGTGGTGTCATAAATTCAACATGTTTTCACGTATTTAAATGTAACACTTACATGTTTTTCACAAAAAATGGTTTATGTAATTTGTTTTGATTTTTAACCAAAAGGTTTTTACTATACTAAATATTATTATAGATAAATATTTTCAAAGTTAAGTATTAAATTTAAATACGTGAAAACTAACCGGATTTAGCATCATGTCCATTGGTCTGTAAGTCTTGTGGTGTCACAAATTCAACATGTTTTCACGTATTTAAATTTAACAATTAAACGTTTTTTACAAATGATGTTTTAAGTTTTTTTTTTTTTAAACCAAAATTTTTTTCTGTACAAAATATTTTTATAGATAAAATATTTTCAAGCTTAAGTATTTAATTTAAATACGTGGAAACTAAGCGGACTTAGCATTCCGCCTTTTGTGGTCTGTAATTTGAACGTTTTGGCTAAGTTTTAAGTTTTTCACAAATAATGTTTTAAGTAAATTGTTTTGATTTTACAAAATGTTTTTGTTTTAAGAACTAAACTAAGTGTTAAAATTTAACGAATGTGTAACGAATTTATTTCTCAGTAAAATATCTTTCAATGTGGTCTTTTATAAATTGTGAAACAGCTTAGTGAAGCAGAGGTGGATAAACCGAAACATAAGAAACCAAATCCATAGCAAAAGTTTTAACCGAGACTAACAGAATTTAAAGTTGAAACATTTTATTTTTTCGTTTTACTGCTGATCAAACCGAATAAATCAAAACTTGTGTACATATGGTTTACATTTTAATCTAAACCCGATACCAAAATTTTGGTTTAGCAAACCGAACCAAACAAAAAAAAATTCCAGTTATGAAGGTTATATATTTCCAACAGTATTTTGAATGAAATTCAAACAAATAATTTATAAGGAAACCAAGAAATGACAAAGATCAAACATGTTACACAATTCCTTTCAGTCTCCTTTATCGAATTCTCACGAACTAAAGTTCACAAGATTTCGAGCTAAGGAAAGGGTTTCTTTTACGCGGAATGTAATTTTACAAGATCAAACAAACAAACAAGGGTCCTCGAGAAAGAGAAGAAATACAATGGCGGATAAAGGGTTTGGTTCTTATCTTTTTGCTTGAAGAAGACAAACCAGAGCTTTGTTAGATACAGCGCGGGAAAAAGGTTTGACCAACATATCCCCCGGTCATGGCCCTGCGAACATTGGTCTCAAACAGCTTTGGGTTATCCCTTAAAACTGCTGCTGCATCATGGTTCAAGGGATCTTCAGAATTGGGTTCCTGTGTGAAAACAAACACTCAGTTCAGAAACCAAATAACACAAAACCTAGTTTGATCAAACTGTCTGGCTAATTACCGTGAACAGATGGAAGAGTCCGTAGATAACTGTGTTTATGTTAAGAACCGGTTTCCAATCTTCACGCAAGATGTTCAGGCAAACGTTTCCTTCCAAATCGATATTGGGATGATAAACCTAAACAAGAAAACAAACAAAGAATATACAACACAAGTAATTTTTAAGTAGAAATGTAAACTAAATAAGGAATGTAAAAGGAGGAGCCTACCTTGGTTTTGCATTTAACTTTTGGAGCTTCATGTGGATACACAGGAGAAACTTGGAATGTGAAAACAAACGTACCATTGCTGTTTAATTGGTAAGAAGGAAAAAACAAATGAGTTTCCAAAAAAGTTTTAAGCGCGAAAGTATGAAACAAAAACGCAGATTTCAGTAAAAAAAAAAACTCTACTTAACTGGTAATATCCATCATCAGGTTTAATGGACACTTCAAAGTTCATCAAATCATCTTTTCCATTTGGGAAAGATATCGAACAAGAGCTAGGAAGGTTCAACTCTGATATATCTGCACAGTTCAAGATCGTGAAAAAAACACCAACAATGACCAAATGAAACAACAATTGTGAAACAGAGAAGAAGACATCAATGGAGTATATATATAAAAATACCTTTGTGAAGACGAAGTTCGCCAGCAGATTGCTTCTTAACAGAAGCTCCTCCTCTAGTAGCATTTTGAGCTTGTTCTCTTTGCTTTTCCTTAACTTTAAATAACCCAATCATTGCTTCTCACTTCTTAAGAAACTCACACACAACTGTGACAAAATCAAAGAATGAATGATTAAAATCTATGTCAATGATTAAAACAAATTTAACATCTGCAAAGTCATAATTTTTACGATTCTTGATTCATCACTTAAGAAATCAAGAAGGCCTTTAAAAATCTATCCTTTCGATATATAAAACCACAACTGCAACTAAACTCATATACAAACTTTAAATTAATTATGGTAACAAAGCCCAAATCCGAAGATCCCTAAACCAAAGCTATAACCAAAATCTCAGAAATAAAAACGCGTTTTTTACAAGACAAGCTAATCTACTTAACAGGTTTCAAGATCGGAGACTTTCCACATAATTAGAATCAGAAAGCTAAAAACAACGACTAGGTCGAAACATCGAAAAGTTAAAACACCAAAGACAATCAAACAAAGAAAATGGAGGAAGAAGAAGCTTACAAGTTGATTAAATTCGTTGCGAAAATCGAAACAAATTACGAGCGAATTAAAAAGGTCGCCGATTCTCTCTCGCCCACCGGATTGTCGTCCTCTGAAGCTAAACGACGAAGAAGCAGAAGAGAAATGTTGCAATAACACACAATCGTAGCTTTTTCTCGACGCTGATTCAGAGAATCAAAACTCGTTGCTGGTTTTTTCTCGAGTTTCAGCTAGGCCCATTAAGCCCGTTAGGCCCATTCGATTATCTATCTTCAACAATAAATTTTGGTAGTTTGCGCGCTTTTAATGGATTTAACCAAGCAGATGTCAGAAATCAACGTCACAAGGGGATTTGTGACCCGTTTGCATTTTTTATGCCATTTTTACTAATTTCGTGTAACAAATCAACAAAACACGATAATCGTTACGTAATCATCTAAATTCAATATGTGGTGTATATAAATAAAAATAACAGATGAGATTATGAATCAAAGATTTTGATATTTTACCAAAACAACCATATATTTGTGGTATAGAATTGAAAATAAATAGAGAAAATCTACAAAACTGACAAGTAATTATCTATAATAAGCCAGAAAAATATCATCTTTGTGCTATAAAAACATTTTCCATGGACTTAGAAAATAATAAAATAAAAAACTGTGAAAAAAAGAAAGAGAAAAGATGCTTTTCAATAAAAGAAAACATCGTCATCTCCACCACTAAGAAGGCCCATTCCGTCACACAACCCTATCTGTTGTTACTTCTAGCTTCACTAATGGCCAATCCAATTCTCTATTGATTTTGACTCCAATTTCCAAAAAAAACAACTAATATAAGAAAAAAAAAAACACACAACTCAAATCTCAAATCTAAAACCGCAGATTTCAGAAATCGCCATGGCTTCAGTGACACTGGGTTCATGGATTGTTGTTCACCACAATCATCATCATCATCATCATCATCTTCCTTGTTCAATCTTAACCAAATCCAGATCCAGATCTTCTTCTTCTTCTTCTCCCATAACTCATACTAAACCCATCTCTCTTCGTTCAAAACGCACCGTTTCATCTTCTTCAATCGAGACTTCTTCTTCCGTTGTTACAAAAGAAGACAATCTCCACAAATCTGAACCATCCTCTTTCGATTTCATGTCTTACATCATTACCAAAGCCGAATCAGTCAACAAAGCTTTAGATTCAGCTGTTCCTCTCCGTGAGCCACTCAAGATCCACGAAGCCATGCGTTACTCTCTCCTCGCCGGTGGAAAAAGAGTTAGACCAGTTCTATGCATCGCCGCTTGTGAACTCGTCGGCGGCGAAGAATCAACCGCTATGCCTGCGGCTTGCGCCGTCGAGATGATCCACACCATGTCGTTGATCCACGACGATCTACCTTGTATGGATAACGACGATCTCCGCCGTGGAAAACCGACGAACCACAAAGTGTTTGGTGAAGACGTAGCTGTTTTAGCCGGAGACGCGCTTCTCTCGTTCGCGTTCGAGCATTTAGCGTCGGCGACTTCTTCCGATGTTGTATCTCCGGTGAGAGTGGTTCGAGCCATTGGAGAATTGGCTAAAGCAATCGGAACAGAAGGATTAGTGGCGGGTCAAGTCGTTGACATTAGCAGTGAAGGGTTAGATTTAAACGACGTCGGTTTAGAGCATTTGGAGTTTATCCATTTGCATAAAACGGCGGCGTTGCTTGAAGCTTCTGCGGTTTTGGGAGCGATCGTTGGTGGAGGAAGTGATGATGAGATCGAGAGGTTAAGAAAGTTTGCGAGATGTATTGGTTTGTTGTTTCAGGTGGTTGATGATATCTTGGATGTGACGAAATCGTCGAAAGAGTTAGGGAAAACTGCTGGGAAAGATTTGATTGCTGATAAATTGACGTATCCGAAGATTATGGGTTTGGAGAAATCGAGAGAGTTTGCTGACAAGTTGAATAGAGAGGCTCGTGATCAGCTTTTAGGGTTTGATTCTGCTAAGGCTGCTCCTTTGTTGGCTTTGGCTAATTACATTGCCTATAGACAGAACTGATTGTGTTCCGATTCCTTTTGTCGGGAATCATTAGACTGAAATTGTAGAAATCTCGGACTGGTTCTAGAGTTTGTTGGTGTAATCATCTCTATGTTTCCATGTACTAAAAAAAATTTGGATAGTAAAACTGGATAGTAATGGATGCAATATTAAGAGGTTCATGTGTTTGTAATAGAGTCCCTGTTTGGATTTTAAAGTCTTTTTTGAATATGTAAGTCTCTCTTCTTTTGGATCTGTTTTGTTATGATGAACGATGTGGTTTTAGACTTTTAGTACAGGAACACTGATTGGATCTGATAGATTCGCTAGTTCTTTGGTCATCAGATTAGTTATTGAATGCATGACAACTAATACGACGTTGCTCTTGGCGTAAAACTAAAAGTGAAAACCAATCAAGTCCACGAGCAAAACAGAGTTTAAAGATGGACCGAGACAACTCTTGAATGGGCCAACCTCATGTATTCGAATTAGTTCCCAAATTTAAAAGCCCAATCTAAATGCTGAGTTCCAAAAGCCCATTTAACTCTAGCTGGCACCAGCATTTTTTTTATGGTTTTATGTTTTTTCCATCGTGAAAATCACTTATTGATTACCGAATTACTGTTAGTTAAGTGGTTAAGCTAAAGATGTTATAGGTTTTTTTAGCGACTTATGACAGCATGTCTATTTTGGCATGGTCAACGAATTCTCATGTCTCAAACGTTAGTCAACGTTTAGTTCATGTTTTAAATAGTCACCTATGAAGTTGATGTCTCAAATAGCCACAATTTGAAAGTTAGGGGATTAAATGATATTTTTCCCCATTAGAAAACATATTCTTACGTGAAAATTAATCAAAATTAAATGTAACAAAATGGTTGATGTGATGTCTTAGGGCCTGACTGGTTTAAACGCAGCAATTGCGGTTGCGGTTGCGGGAGATTGCGGAAGCGGGTGGTTGCGGTTTCAAGTGTTACCAAGCGTTTTGAACGACTGGTTTAGCGTTTGAAAATGGGTGCGTTTGCGGGAATTTTATGACTGGTAAACCAGCGGGTGTGGTAGCAGTTAAATAAAAAATGACCAAGATAAATAAAAAATATTACAAAAAAATAAAATAAAAAGACCAATATATTTTTATGATAATATTAGGAAAATTGAACATGATTCTGGTTTTTGTTTGAATAAATAAAGTACAATATATTTATTCACAAATAAAGAAATTTAGTAACAAGATAGTATTTTATGCATCTGGTTTAACATCAAAAATTGCATCAAGTAATGGGACAAACTGTAAATAACGTTGAATTCAATCAAAAATCAAGTGAGTCTCTATTCGAGAAAACAAATCGAAACATATATTCAATCAAAAAGCAAAGCAATACGTAATGAAAAGAAAAAAAACGATGCCATGAAAAATATTCAAAAAATTACACATGAGGTGATAAATGAATAAAAGGATATATGATACTTACGTTTGGTTCTTGATTTTCATCAGTTTGGGTGGAAGACATTGAGAGAATAGGGATTCAGAATATTATTAGGGTTTCTGATGAGAACGTGATACAAAGATGAAAGATATATATATGATTAATATATATTATAATAATTATAAGTAAACGTTTGATTTTAAAAAAAAAATTCAACCGCTACCGCCCGCAGCCGCAAACGCTTGCGGGAAGGAGCTTTTGAAATTCAGCGATTTCGAGCGGTTAGAAGCGGTATGGAGCGGTTTCTATAATTGGTACCAACCGCTAACAACCGCAACCAACCGCTAGCAACCGCTAGGAGGGTGCTAGCGGGAGAACCAATCAAGCTCTTAATTAGACCGAGATGATCGTTGAGTCGGACTATATATACAATAAGTTTGTTCACTTAGCAAAGGATATTTAAATAGGATTTACATGATCTTTATCTAAACACACAATAAATCCATATTATCTCCATCAATTTGAATCAGCAGTACAACCACTATAACATGTATTTGGATTTGAATGTAAACATCAGATTTATCATTTAATTCGAAATGAAAATAAATCATAGAGAAAAAAAAAATATATATATATATATATATATATATATAAAAAAAAAAAGTATAGTTTTTTGTATCTGCTTCTCTTTTCAAACATGTCTTTTTCGGTGATGCTCTTTTTGAAAAAAAACAAATTTTGTAGCATGTGTTTATTTTGTTGATTTTTTAAAGCGCAGAAAAATATGTAGTCCTATCCTACACAATTATACTCCTTCCGTCCCACAAAGATGAATTTTTTAGAAAAAAATTTGTCCCACAAAGATAGAAGTTTTGTATTTCTAATGTCAAATTTAAAACAGTTTACCTATTTTACCCTTATTAAACAACAATAAATAATATACTCTTTAAAAATATGTTAAAAGATTAAAAGGTTAAAATTGTCATTATACATTATTTCTTAAAGAATGTGAAATTTCTAAAAAATTTATTTTTGTGGGACGGAAGGAGTATATTTTTTAGGGGTGGGAATTTCGGTTTAACTTCGGGTTCGGTTTGGGTTCGGTTCGGTTCGGTTTATTTGGGTTTCGTAAAACTCTAACCAAACTCAACCGAAGTTAGTTTGATTCGGTTTGTGTTTGGGTTAGTTTATGTTTGGTTCGGTTTGGTTAGGTTCGGTTTTACTTCGGTTCGGTTTGAGCTCGGTTCAAAAAATTAATTAATATAACAAAACAAAAATATGAAAGAACATAGAATGAAATATGAAAGTCTTTTGAGTTTTACTCTTTTTAAGTTAGAAGGAGAACCCTAAGTTTTTTAGGGTTAGAGTTTTAGAGACAATTAAATCTAATTTACATTTATTCAAATTATTATAAAATTAAGAATAAATACATATTTAGTTATTTATAATAATATTAATATAATTAACTAATTAATCAAATAAACACATTGGGTTATCGGTTCGGTTTGGTTTTAAACCGAACCGAACCGACCTATTTGGGTTGAGAATAAACCCAACCGAATGGTTTGAGTCTAAGCTAGAGTTCGGTTTAGGTCGGTTTGAGTTCGGTTGGGTTGGATCGGTTCGGTTCGGTTCGGTTTAAATGCCCACCCCTAATATTATTTTTACTTTAAAATTAGAACCATGGTTATTATTTGGAGATAAGAAGATAAAAACAAAAAATGTGGCAACACGTCATTGTTTCAAATATTTACTGAGTTTTCCTTATATAGACATTATTACATCACAAAAATTCATCTCTTTAACATTACCATTTACTACTAGATGTAAATATTCACGAAAATGCGTTTATTGAATTTCTCAGGATATATATCTGCTGACGTGTATGATATGAACCCCACAAGATTTAAGTTTACGGTAATAAATTAAATTGTAACAGAGAACTTTGGTTGCCTATATAAAGCTCGCTCTTGCTGTTCCATTTTTCAACTAGTAACTGAAATCGATTTCATTTTTTTCTTTCTGTTTTTTTTTTGGTCGTCATAGTGATGATGAAGAAGCTTTTGTCGCAACGTTTGTTCAATATGTCAGAAATGGCGTCGCAAAGTCTGATGAACTGTCGTACTTCGTCTTCTTCGTTAGCCCTGCGAACTAGGGTTCCTAAAGATATAGGAGAAGCCACGATTGATCCAGAGCCTGGGGATTTGACGACTTCTCGGAGGTTTTTGCATAAAATCTCCATGAATGGGATTGATATGACTTCGAAGAGTTTGATGCAGAAGCTTCGAGAAATGGATGTGAACAAGGATAGGATTCGATTAGACGGATTGCCAAGTAAAACAAGATCAGCTTCTAAAGATCTTCATTCAAGAATCAGAGTCGCGATTCAATCTGTTGATTCGATTTCAAAGCTGGTTGAGAGATTCAGAGATGATGAGCTCGAGCCACAGCTATTAGAGTTTCTTTCTTCAAAGGTATATTAGTAACTAATAATCAAATGTCTTTTTAACTTTTGGGCTTTCGACAGGGCCAATCATATCTTTCCGCCGAAAAGCCCAATACGTTTTCAGAAACAATTGAGTCCCACATCGAAAAACGAATAAACAGTTACTAACTTATGACCCTATAAATAAAGCTATCCATATGCATTGTAAACAGATAAACAGTAATGGGCTTTCCACGAAGGCCCGACTGGTGGCTTAATTGCCCAAAAGTACCAAATGTTTTCTTATGTTTTTTTTTTTTGGTTTTTTTACGGGTTTTCGAGGTTTTAAAAGTTTTTTTCAAATCTAGTTTTGCTTTTTTTTTGTTTCAATAAGTGTTAAATTTTTTAATTTTGTGTAAACTAATTGGATACAACATCCAAACTTCTAAGAGGTGTTCTAGGTTCAATATGATTTACACATGATTAAATTTTTAATACTTATGTTTTTTAAAAAAAAATGTTTTATTTTTTTGTTTTTGTTTTTTTGATAAGTGTTAAATTTTTTAACTTTGTGTAAACTAATTGGATACAACATCCAAACCTCTAAGAGGTGTTCTAGGTTCAATATGATTTACGCATAATTAAATTTTTAATAATTATGTTTTTCTTAAAAAAATGTTTTGTTTTTTTGTTTTTGTTTTTTTTGATAAGTGTAAGTTTTTTAATTTTGTGTAAACTAATTGGATACAACATCCAAACCCCTAAGAGGTGTTCTAGGTTCAATATGGTTTACACATAATTATATTTTTAACACTTATGTTTTTTTTTTAAAGGTTTTGTTTTTTTCCTTTTTTTTTTTTTAAGTGTTAAATTTTTAAATTTTGTGTAAACTAATTGGATACAACATCCAAACCCCTAAGAGGTGTTCTATATTTAAGATAGTTTACATATAATAAAATTTTTAACATTTATTTTTGTTTATTGAAAAATGTTTTTTAAATTTATATTTTAAATTACTATTAAAAGTTGAGAAATTGTTAAAAATGCCCCTTTTTCAATACCCTTTTTCGAAAATGCCTTTTTTGAGAGTACATTTTTAAGTTTGCCCTCTTTTAATTTTTAATGACCATTTTACACTTATTTGAAACAAAATTAGGTCCACAAAATACAAAATATTTTTTTGGCGGGAAAAGTGATCCCGCAAATTTTTGGCGGGAAACGTGATCCCGCAATTTTCCCGCCAAAATTTTTTTTTTTCGGGAAAAGTGATTCTGCAATTTTTTTGGCGGGAAAATTTTACAAGGTATTTTAAAGATTTTACAGAGTATTTACAAGTGTTTTGTAAGATTTTACAATGTATTTTAAAATATTTTACAAGGTACTTATAAGGTTTTATAAGGTATTTATAACTTGTAAAACCTTATAAAAAACTTCTAAAACCTTATAACTTGTAAAACCTTATAAAATAGCTTGTAAAATCTTATAATATCTTATAAATACTTTATAAATACGTTGTAAAACCTTTTAAAATACATTGTAAAACCTTATAAATACCCTGTAAAAAACCTTTAAAATACTTTGTAAATTTTTCCCGCCAAAAAAATTGCGGAATCACTTTTCCCGCAAAAAAAAAAATTTGGCGGAAAAAATTTTTACGGAAAAATTTTACAAGGTATTTTAAAGGTTTTACAAGTTTTTACAAAATCAAATTTGTAAATTTGATGTGTGCACATTCTCATGTTTTCCTTATATATTTGTGATATCTTTTATTAAAAGAATGGTAATTTAGTCATTTTGTACATAAAAAGAAGTATTTTTGAAAATGGACAGCCAAATGATGCATTTTTGAAAAGAGATATTGAAAAAGGAACATTTTTGTGAATCTCCCTTCAAAGTTTTAAGGTTTTTTTAATTTGAAGATGTAGTTTTACATAAGGAAGATGTTTGATGGGATGCAAGAGTTCTTAATTTCAGTATTGGTAAGCCTCGTGTTCAATTCAACACCAAACTGATGTACATCGAATTGCCAACACTTTTATTGGAATCATGTTTATATATTCGACCCGAATCTTATTGTACGATTGACTTCTAAAAAGGATTTGCTACATTTGCTCCGTACTCAACTTGCCGTTTTATTTATTTATTTAAAATCACATACTCATATAAGTAATAAAATTTTATGGTCTATAATCAATGTGTAATGGCTTCCATTCTTTTCGGAATATCCGTGTCTTGTGGTGTTGGGTACAGCCGTACAGGTAGCGTGAACAAAATTTAGGATTTTTATTCTCACTTTCTCGATAATATCTTTCATGTTTTCTTTGATGAATCTATGTTTTCAGTTTATTTTCTATCCATTCGTCTAATAAGAAAATCACATTATTAAAAAATATTCTTACGTGAAAAATAATGTAACAAAATGGTTTGTGATGTCTCATGTCTTAATTAGACCGATATACTAGTTGAGTCGGACTATGTATAAAATAAGTTTGTTCACATAGCAAGCATATTTAAGCAGGGTTTACATGATCTTGATTTAAACACACAATAAATTTATATTGTCTCCATCACCATCAAATTTGAATCAGCAGTACAACCAGTCAACCACGATAACATTTATTTGGATTTAAACGTAAACATCAGGTTTCTCATTTTCGTTCTAAATGTATATAAATTATAGAGAAAAATATATAATATTAGAAATTTTTATCTATTTTTTCCAACATGTTTTATATCCGGTGATGCTATTTTGAAAAAACAAATTTTGTAGGATATGTTTCTTTTTGTTGTTTTTCTAAAGCGAAGGGAAATATATATATAGTTCTATCCTACACTATTATATAGATTACTTTTAAATTAGAATCATGAATATTGTTTGGAGATAAGACTAATTAATATTTTAGGATTAAACAAAAAATAAAGGTTATCCTACTCATTTGGTGCAAAGAATTCAAGATCTCATTAATTACTAAACCATACTTTAAACCAAATAAAATAAAGTCTCAAAAATTTATATTAAACCGTTCATTAATGTTTCTAGTCACAAAACAGTGAAAAATATTCTCTTATATAGTATTATTATACATTACATCCCAAAATCATATATTTTCTAACATACTATGTAGAAGATAAAACAGAAAATGTGGCGACACGTCCGTATGTTCAAATTTACTGAATTACCATACTTAGTAATTTCATACACACATTACATCACATTTGTTTTCTCTTCATTAGGTGCAAATTGGATAAAAACGAAAAAAGTGGCAACACGTCATTGTTTCAAATATTTACTGAGTTTTCCTTATATATAGACATTATTACATCACAAAAAATCATCTCTTTAACATTACCATTTCCTACTAGATGCAAATAGATAAAAATTATCTCTTTTAACCTCATCAGTTACTAGATGTAACAAGATAAAACAGAAAATGTGGCGACACGTTTTTGGCTTTCTTTTTTAATCTGTTGAGTTACTCATAGTCAAATAAGTTATTAAGATATTATTTACCTTTTAAAATTTTAATCGGACGGTTATGGAGGCACCGCAAGCTACCACCAACATAAATCCAACCACGTGGACGGTAGTCACCTATCAATATATTCACAAAAAGGCAGCGTTTATTGAATTTCTCGTGATATATATCTGCTGACGTGTATGATATGAACCCCACAAGGTTAATAAATTAAATTGTAACAGAGAACTTTGGTTACCTATATAAAGCTCGCTCTTGCTGTTCCATTTTTCAACTAGTAACTGAAATCGATTTCATTTTTTTCTCTCTGTTTTTTTTTTGTTCTTCATGGTGATGATGAAGAAGCTTTTGTCGCAACGTTTGTTCAATATGTCAAAAATGGCGTCGCAAAGTCTCATGAACTGTCGTACTTCGTCTTCTTCGTTAGCCGTGCGAACTAGGGTTCCTAAAGATATAGGAGAAGCCACGATTGATCCAGAGCCTGGGGATTTGACGATTTCTCAAAGGTTTTTGCATAAATTTTCCATGAATGGGATTGATACGACTTCAAAGATGTCGATGGGGGAGAGTTTGATGGGGAAGCTTAAAGAAATGGATGTGAACAAGGATAGGATTCGATTAGACGGTCTTTCTCATCCGAAGGAGGAGACGTTGGGGCTTACTTTGCAAGACGTGAAGAAGTTGCTAAGAGCGTCAGAGATCGAAGTTGTTAAAACAAAACTGTTGGAGACGGGAAAAATCTGGATTCGTTACTCCGATTTCGTTCGTGTTTGTAGTGATTCTTCTTTGGATCCTTCTCAAGGACCTTTGATCGCTAAGATGCTTGATGATTCAGGAAACGTTATCGTTTTGGGAAACTCTGTTTGTTTAAGACCTGATCAGGTAATTTCTTCTTCCTCTCTGTTCCTACAAAGTTTTTTTTTGTTTCTTTGTTTGTTTGATTTGATTTGGAAGCTACCAAAAAACTGATAAGGTATTGTGTGATGATTAGGTAACCAAATCCATCGAGGGGCTGCTTCCTTTACCACAGATTCATAGCCCAAATGACCCAAGAAGAAAAGAGCTAAGAGAGCTTGAAGCTATAAAGACGGTCATCGATCAGAAAGCACATTCTTTGGTGAGAAGAGAGCTTTGGGCTGGTTTGGGTTACTTGATCATCCAAACCGCAGGGTTCATGAGGCTAACGTTTTGGGAACTCACATGGGATGTTATGGAACCGATCTGTTTCTATGTCACATCGGTATATTTCATGGCGGGTTATGCTTTTTTCCTCAAGACATCTAGAGAGCCTTCCTTTGAAGGGTTTTACCAAAGCAGGTTTGAGGCTAAACAGAGGAAACTGATGGAATCTGAGGATTTTGATGTTGGGAGGTACGATGAGCTGAAGAAGCTGTTTAATCCCAAGCCTTCAGGTGCTGTTTCCAAGATTCTTGGAACTCTATGGAATTGATCATTGGTGGCTCGTTGTCCTACTAACCTCAGAAAGATAAATTGACCCCAAAATTGTGTCAAACAATAATTTTGAAATTTACATAATCTTTCTAGGAGGAAAAGACCAAAAAAAAAAAAGAGAGGTTCTAATAGTGCGGCTTATGTAATTTGCAAGAGTAGATAAAAGAATCGATTGTGATGTATATTTAATAAAAACTAAAAACTATTACCATATTTTATTTCTAAATTTCAAGTCTGACTTTCTGAGAATATCTCAATGCATACGGGATTTCGTTTGTCAAGTGTGAATTTCTGAATATTTATTGATACGGTCATTAAGAGTCTTATTATTTTTACTTTAAGTTATACTATACGATACGATTATATATACCAAAAACTCATTTTGCCATTTGAGGCCTAAATCTCATTGAGGTAATTCTGAAATGATTTTAAGTTTTCCGTAAAGCTAGCTTATAAATGATTTTTAGTTCTAAAATAAAACATGTATAACATATGCTTAATAATTATTTCGTCGGACTTACATAAATGATTGATACAACATGTTATGCGTGGGAGTAGTTGTTGTAACTTGTAAGTTCACCGTCCAAGTTTCCTTTTAATTAATTCACGAGAAATCAACTACGACCGTGTAAATAAAAATCTGAGTTTGGTAGGTCAAGAATCACTTGTGGAAAATGAGACAAAAGAAAAGAGTCACTTGTGGAAAATAATATCAAGTGGACAAAACCAAATTCCTCATAGTGAAAAAGATATATATTACACAGTGCCTGCCGCATTTGTTTGGTACGTATCTAAGAACGCTTATCGCCAAAATAACGATTAGGACAATTGATTTTTACTATCTTTTTTTTATACGAATCAAATATCTTCTGTCTTAGCTGGTCATCAAATTGTGTGAAATAGTAATTTAATAACTCGTTACTGTGATGATTCATCTTCGTAACAATCGCCCGACGCATATTCCAATATTTACATTTGTTTTAAGTAATGCTCTCTTTCCATCTATATTTCCTTGAGTAAACTTTAAACTCTTCACCATGAAAGGCATAAGGTTCTACATGGACGCTTGTCTGAATTTCTCAACCCCAAACTCTCTTTCGTGTGTAGAGGTTCTTTGGTTTTCCCACCTGCTTTTCTAATATGGTAATGCCAACTTGACGCGTACCAAGTTTCTGATTCCTTTTAGATTCGAAGATATTTTCAAATATGGTTTGCTATTCGACAATAACAGTAAAATCCCATTAAGACCATAAATCTTGAATTTTTCACAACCGTTTTACAAGATTTATTCATATAGCCTAATTTAATTTGTCACGTAAATGTGACAATTATTATTGGTCCACATCATTTTGCTTTCATGACAAGACCGGCCATTTAGTGACCTATGTTCTACAACAATTATTGGAAAATGAAAATTAAAACAACTCCCAAAAAAAAAAAAAAAAAAAAAAACAGAAACAGAGCTTCACATATGTGAAAAAGTCACACGCACACATATAAAGACACTCGAGGCAAGAAGAAGAAGAAGAATCACCGTGACCACCACCACCGTCGGATCAAAACCAAACTATGTCAACGGCTCTGATCAACTCTCTCACCTACTACCTCTCCGAACATCCATACATCGTCGGATTCCGTTGGAGCAACAGCCAATCATGGGGCTCCACGTGGTCTTTCCTCTTCACCTCAATCTCCCTTTACATCGCCGTCTCATCCTCCCTCCACATCCTCCTCTCCGCCGTACTCCGCCGTAACCGTTCCGTTCCTTTAGGCCACATCCCCGAAATCCACAGCCTTCTCATGTCAATCCTCTCCGCCACCATTTTCGCCGGGATCCTCCTCTCCGCCGCCGCAGAGATCCGTGACACACGGTGGTTATGGCGTCGGAGCAAAACCTCCACTCCTCTCCAATGGCTTCTCTGTTTCCCTCTCGGGACTCGTCCCTCTGGTCGTGTCTTCTTTTGGTCATACGCGTTTTACCTCACGCGCTTTCTCCACATGTTCCGTACGATCTTCGCCGTTTTACGTCGCCGGAGACTCGCCGTGTCTCAGCTCTTCTGTAACTCCGTCATGGCATTCACGTCGTTCCTCTGGCTTGAATTCTCGCAGTCGTACCAGATTCTAGCGATTCTATCGACGACGCTGGTTTACTCTGTGGTTTATGGTTACAGATTTTGGACCGGGTTTGGTTTACCAGGTTCGGCTTTCCCTTCGTTTGTGGTGAATTGTCAGTTGGTTCTCGTGGGTTGTAATCTCGTGTCTCACGCTGGGGTTCTTACGATGCACCTCTTTAAAGGAGGATGCAATGGGATCGGCGCGTGGGGTTTAAACTCCGTTCTCAACGGTGCGATTTTGTTGCTTTTCCTTAACTTTTATGTGAGAATGCATTCTCCAATGCGACGCCGTATTAGTAACACTTCGCCGGAGCTTGATCTACAAGCCAACGTAACGCTAAAGAATTAACTCAATAAACCAGATTGGAGTAAAACTGAAAACTTAAATCCAATTATTTCATTCTTCTCAATGTGTTTTATGTTTTTTTTTTTTAAATCGTAACTCTAGTTATGTCATATGTGTAGTGTGTACACCTATAGTACTGTTAATTGCTAATAAGCTACTCTTTTTTTTCCTAGTGTTAAGCATGGGTTATTATGCAAAATCGGAAAAAAAATCTTAGATTATTTGTAAAAAATTATTTAAAAAAAAAACGAATTATCTCACTGTGAGATATGAGTCTGCGCTTCCTCGTGTTTCTCCTTCCATTGCTGAGAACCTTGGAGCCTCGAGCTCTGTTTCCGCGACAACAAGCCTCTCTTCCATTTAACTACAATCCATAGCCACCTCTTTCAAAACCAATGCCAAATCATCAGATATCTTTAAACTTTAAAGCTGATTTAGCTCTTCTAACAAATCAGATATCTATAAAGAAGAAGCTTGTGCAGCCTCATGAGCCTGTGCATTGGTTGATTCCATCTCAACCAAATCCTGAACACAAGTATCTTCTTCTTCTTCTTCTTCTTGGCTCGAGAATCTCGGCTATGTAAGATTTATCTATCAAAATCATGAAGAGACTTTCCTGCAGATTTAGAAGATGATAACAAAGCAAGCAACGCAAAGACAGAGAAAGAGACTTGTTGTCATGAAAATGCTCAAACTTTGTTTCCAAAAATCTACACAAGCTCGCAGAATCTTACGATTTACATCACAAATCGTATCCTGAACCTATTAAGAAAAAAGGAAACAAACACAAAACAGTTAAGAGAAAAATCAACACAAAAGACTCACAAAAAAAAAAGGAAATTTTGAAAAGAGTAAAAAAAAGGAAACTTTGAATTCCAAAAAAAATGGAAACTTTGATTACAAGAAAATCTATATATACATCACAAACGTTTTAAATATCATCACAATTCACAAACCCAGAGAAACAAAGAGAGAGAGAGAGAGAGAGAGAGAGAGAGAGAGTTATAGATTCTATTCTTCGATTTCATGCCCAATTTGCTTACGATGATTCTATTTTTCAATTTCTACTTCGTTTACCTCTTTTATCTCTTCGAATTTCATGAGTTGTTTGATCCATCTTTGACTCCAAATTGTTCGACGTTTTCTTTGTCGCTGCTCTTCGACAACCAAAGAAGAGAAGATCGTGATTGAAGATGATGTCGATTTCAGGCGAGGAATCATGATATTGGAGCGTCTATCCAGCGACGACGGAGATGGCGATAGAGGGAGCAGAAGATTGAGGACGTGGCTTTGCTTTTACAGAGAAGTTGTGTTTTTCATTGAAGCTTCTCTCCGGCGAGCAGCAGCCATCGACGACGGTGATGGCTTGCGTTTCCGGTGGAGATTAAAGGGGTTGGATTGATGATATCATCAAAGCCCTTTTGCACAACAAAGCCCAACTAAAGAAAAATTAATTTCAGCCCATAAGAAAGGTCAATTTCTAACCCTTTTTAATTTTTTTCTTGTGTTTGTTTTTTTTAATTTTTTTTTATTGATACTAAATTTAAATAATGATACGAAAACTAACCGGATTTTGGATCCAGCATTATGTCGTTAGCGATTCCAAATATTCAACTTGTTTTTCCTATTATTATGTAGATTTAGCATTCAAGTTTTTAATTAGGATTTTTTAAAATAGTTTTTAAAAATTTTGAGTTGGTTTCTTTTCGGATTTTTAATTTTTTTTTTCTTGTATTTGTTTTTTAAAAGTTTTTTCGGATTTTTAATTTTTTTTTATTGATACTAAATTTAAATAATGATACGAAAACTAACCGGATTTTGGATCCAGCATTATGTCGTTAGCGATTCCAAACATTCAACTTGTTTTTCCTATTATTATGTAGATTTAGCATTCAAGTTTTTAATTAGGATTTTTTAAAATAGTTTTTAAAAATTTTGATTTTGTTTCTTTTCGGATTTTTTTTTAAAAAATTCTTGTGTTTGTTTTTTAATTTTTTTTTTTTTGATTGATTCTAAATTTACATAATGATATGAAAACTAACCGGATTTTGGATCCAGCATGATGTCGTTAGCGATTCCAAACATTCAACTTGTTTTTCCTATTATTATGTAGATTTAGCATTCAAGTTTTTAATTCTGATTTTTAAAAATAGTTTTTAAAATTTTGATTTTGTCTCTTTTCGGATTTTTTTTAAAAAAAAAATCTTGTGTTTGTTTGTTTTTTTTAATTTTTTTTTGACATCTTTGGATCGACAAGGCCCGATCCATAGCCAATCCCTACTACGCGGGGTAACGCGACTTACTGGAGTCGAACTCCGGTGGGGAAGGCGGAGTCAAATGGACTTAACCACTTGACTAAAGGCACATCTCCCAATCTTGTGTTTGTTTTTTAAAATTTTTTTTTATTGATGCTAAATTTACATAATGATATGAAAACTAACCGGATTTTGGATCCAGTATGATGTCGTTAGCGATTCCAAATATTCAAGTTGTTTTTCCTATTATTATGTAGATTTAGCATTCAAGTTTTTAAATCGGCTTCTTAAAAGTAGTTTTAAAATTTTTGATTTTGTTTCTTTTCGGATGTTTTAAAACTTTTTTCTTGTTTTTGTTCTTTTAAATTTTTTTGACTCATACTAAATTTACATAATGATATGAAAACTCACCGGATCTTGGATCCAGCATTATGTCGTTAGTGATTCCAAACATTCAACTTGTTTTTCCTATTTTTATGTAAATTTAGCATTCAAGTTTTTAATTCGGATTTTTAAAAATAGTTTTTAAAATTTTGATTTTGTTTCTTTTTGGATTTTTAAAACTTTTTTCTTGCGTTTGTTTTTAAAATTTTTTTTATTGATACTAAATTTATATAATGATATGAAAACTAACCAGATTTTGGATCCAACATTATGTCGTTAGCGATTCCAAATATTCAATTTGTTTTTCCTATTATTATGTAGATTTAGCATTCAAGTTTTTAATTCGGATTTTAAAAAATTGTTTCTAAATATTTGATTTTGTTTATTTTTCAAAAACTTATTTTTTGGTGTTTTTTTATTTATTTGTTTTATACTAAATTTACATAATGATATGAAAAACTAACCGGATTTCAGATCCAGCATTAGTCGTTAGCGATTCCAAACATTGAACTTATTTTTCTTATTATTATGTATATTAGCGTTCAAGTTTTTAGTTCAGATTTTTAAAAATAGTTTTTACAATTTTGATTTTGTTTCTTTTGGGATTTTAAAAATCTTTTCTTTCTTACGTTTGTTTTTAAAAAAAATTTCTTTGTTTGGATACTAAATTTACATAATGATATGAAAAACTAACCGGATTTTGGATCCAGTATAAGGTATTTAGCGATTCCAAACATTCAACTTGTTTTTCTTATTCTTATGTAGATTTAGCATTCAAACTTAATTTGGATATTTAAAAATAGTTTTTAATATTTTTGATTTTGTTTCTTTTCGAATTTTAAAAGTTTTTTTTTAGTTTTTTTTTTTTTTTTTTTGTATGAAACTAAATTTACATAATGATATGAAAACAAACCGAATTTTGGATCCAACATTAGTCGTTAGCGATTCCAAACATTCAACTTGTTTTCCTATTATTATTTAGATATTCAAGTTTTTAATTCAATTTTTAAAATAGTTTTGAAATTTTTGATTTTGTTTTCTTTTCCCGATTTTTAAAAGCTTTTTTTTTCCTGGGTTTGTTTTTCTTTAATTTTCTTGTTTTATACTAAATTTACATAATGATATAAAAAAACTAACCGATTTTTGGATAAAACATTAGTCGTTAGAGATATACAAAAGAAAAAAATCATTAGTAAATGGTATCAGAGCCCGATCCATTGGAAAGTGGATACCATTTACTAATGATTTTTTCTCACTGTCGGGCCCGGAAAGTGGCCCGATCACCCCCACTAATTGATGGTCCAAAGGAAGGCTCAATTCTGTCGAGATAGCTAGAAGAGCATTATGTCGATGGGGCGTGATGGATTCTGGCGAGATTAATGGCTAGAAGAGCCATTATCTCGAGGGGGCATGTGGAGAAAAGATCCCACATTGGAAAGATGGGAAGGGACTTGAGTAGTATATAAGGGACTTTGGCCAATCCACTCATTGCCAGTTGGTTTTGAGTTGGAAGCCCATGAAACTTAACATATTGAGGTAACTTGGGAAGCAAGACAGCGGACCAAGCCCGTGAAGCCCATGAAGCCCGTGAAGCCGAAGTCAAATAATATTCTAGATATCCTATTGTGATAAGGATTAAGAAATTTAGAATATTTACTTATTCATGTTTATCTATTTCCTAATCTACTTAGGTTAAACCTAAATTAGTCTCTATATATATTGTATCAAGTCTCTTGAGATCAATAAGACAGAATAAAGAGTTTCCCCCAATGTTTTCACGCCCGACCCGGACCGCCCGGTCCGACCGGTTAACCCACGACCCGGATACTTTTCCGGTTTGGGTTTAGTGCTAATACCCGCCAATTTCAAAACCGGAAAAACCCACAAAAACCCGCCATTAACCCGCGACCCAGTGAACCGGTTGAACCGGCTGGGTATGGGTTTTAAAAATATCATTTGATTTTGGAATAAAATTTAAAGTTTTAGACTCTATTCAATTATTTTTAGAAGTCTTTTGTAGTTCTTAGACTCATTTGATGTTTTAGATTTTAATGAAACATGACAGTACCGTCTAAGGAGAATGAATGAAATGGTGAGAAAAATAACCGATATTAGTTGTTTTGAATTCGCGATGTTTTATTAGTTTATTTCTGTTATTAGCGATCTCCTACTATTTTAATATTTGTTACGATTTTTTTGGATTTAAAATTTTAATTTGAATTACTTTATTATTATTGTTAGACTTCATATTTTGTAAATATAATATGAATATTTTTATTTTTATATTTATAAACACTATATATTCTCTATAAATATTAAATATATTAATTAAATTTTAATCAATTGACCCGTGGTCGAACCCGATTGACCCAATGACCCGGTGACCCAGAAGGTAATCCGGTTCACCGTCCGGGTCGGGTTTAAAAACACTGGTTCCCCCCCCCCCCCAAACTTTCTCTAGTTTCTACATAAATCTACTTAAAAAAAAAAAAAGCTCGTCGTCTTCTCTCTCAAAACTTGAATGAGAATCTATCTCACGAAAGATCGATCAATCAAAGGGAGATCTAAGATTTCCGGTTCTTGCATATTGACAATGTCCAATGACGTCGTCGAAGTGCCAATGTGCAATAAAATGAGGAAGAAGGCGAAGAAATCATCTCCCTCGTGTTCTGCTGGTTTATCGTCGTTGCCGGAAGCTTTGGCTCTAAGCTGTATAGCTCGCGTCTCGAGATTGGACCAAACAGCCTTATCTCTCGTCTCCAAGAGATACCGCTCTCTCGTAGCTTCCCCTGAGCTCTGCAGCACGCGATCGCTGATTGGTTGCACCGAGTCATCTTTCTACGTGTGCTTGCGCATCTTACCTGACCCAACCCCTCGCTGTTTCGTCCTTACCCGTAATCGTCGACTGAGGCCGATCCCATCGCACCCCTATCAGGCTCCGGAATCATCCTCTTTCGTGGTAGTGAATTGGGGGATCTATGTAATCGGTGGAATCATAAACGGCAATCCCACTTCCGATGTCTTGTTCCTCAACTGTTTTTCTCAGACATGGCACCGCGTTCCGTCCATGAAGATGGCTCGTGCTTCCGCATCGGCAAGCTTTGTAGACGGGAAGATCTATGTTTTTGGAGGGTGCCGAGAGGACGCTGATTCCTCAAACTGGGCGGAGGTATTCGATCCAATTTACCAAACTTGGGGTAAATTTAATACGCCGAAGATGGCCCATAATATCAACCAAAGTGTAGTAATAGAGGAGAAGAAGGTTTATTCCGTGGATGAGGATGATCAAAGCTTCAACTTCTTGCCAAGTGAAGGTAGATTATGGAAAAGAGGAAAAAAAGATTCAAAGCTAGGAAGTAGAAACGATTGGTGTGTCATTGGGAAATTGTTATACTGTCGTGGTGGTACTCGCGGTAGAATACTTTGGTGTCAACCAGATGAGTTGGATTGGAAGGAGGTTAAAGGTTTGGAAGAGCTACAGTTGTATCTCTCTTGTACGAGATACATCTTCAGACGTACCTCGGATAAACGGCCATCAAAGATCCAAGTCAAATATGATATTAGCAAACTCTGTAGTAACTCTTCTGGGAATATTGTCATCTTCTGGAGCGCACATATTGGAGATTCTGAGAGTATGGATCTTTGGTCTGCCGAGATTTCAATGGAGAGGCGTGAGGGAGGTGAGATTTGGGGGAAGATTGAGTGGTCCAATGCTGTCTTCAAACTTGATCCTCTCTCAAACTCATATAGCGTTAAGGTCTTATTTTCTGCTTCTGTCCGTCTGTGATGTTCTAATAACATATATAATAAGTAGGTTCATTTACATACACTCTGAAATCAATACATAAGGATAAGGCCAAAAGAAAATCAAATGATCGTTGTAAAGTAAATAGTGATTCACGAAACAAAAGTTTTGCTTGCTTCCACATAGTCTCCATAGACGTCTTCTTCTTTCCTTTCTAAGCTCTGCATCCTGCAATACTTGTAGTAGATATACTGCAGTATTATCTGTTTTGATTTTTTTAATTAAGGTAACAAAATAAAACCTAACGAGAATGTGATAATTCAGTTTTCATTTTGAGATTGTGAAAACAGGTAGAAAGGATACGAATAGATCGAGTACGACGCAGACAATAGCATCAAGCAACCAAGGAAGGTTTGGTTTGATGTTGTCCCATTCAGTTGTTCGGACAAGAATACTACCAACATATGTTGCATTGGCTACTAGAGCGAAAATGAACATCAGTGGATTCAAACCCTGCGCGCCAATTATCAAAAGATATTGTTAATTAGATGGCATACTACAATAATAATTAGTTATATTTAATGTGTTGGTTGACTTGTAGTTTTAGTTTTTTACCTCAACGCTTCCTCTTTTGATCTAGTTGTAGAGACATCGTCAAAATCAGATTAGTCCCTCAATATCATATAAACAAAAAGCAAAGAAATAATAAAAGAGGTATCAAGATTCGCTAAAAATGGCTTACGTTGAGCCAAATCTGAGGGATGCGACCGCCCATGTAAATGGCGGCCATTAGCCATCCCAACCATTGTCCCAACGCGCTGTGCTCTACTCTTCTCTCCTGCACACAGACAACAATGTTTTGAAATCATTTTCTCGCCTTTCACTCATACATTAAAAACAACAAAATGCTATATATATCACACATTTAGAAGCCGTCTGCTTGAAGCATGCCAGTAATTTTCCGCTAAGCTCTTTGCCTGAAGCGGAAGACTAGCTGATGCAGCCAAAAACGTTCCAAAACCTGCCTGAGAAAAAGAAGTCCAAAATGGGTCAATATTTGTTCTCTTAGCTTAAAGTGGTTTTTAGTTGGCTAAGTTAAAAAGAAATCACAAACCGTTCTAGGTATTGGCCTTGGTTGGGTAATGGTTATAGCCGTTATCACAGGACACGTCGACATTGCCTCATCTTCTTCCGATGACGAACCATTATCTATTGCTAGAGCCGAAGGGCCACTCTTAGCCACTCGAAAATACGATGTTCTTAAGGGAGGTGTGCCACTTCCGGCCAACGATCTCGCCGACCTGTACAAATAGTCGCCCGCAAAACCACTTGTCATAATTGAATATACAGAGCAGAGATATAAGAAAATTGAGAAAGCTAAAGTCTAGGTTCGAGATTTCAGATTTTATCCTCTGTTTCTTCTAAATCTTGTGAAAACGACAAGATAAAACAGAGTAGGCAGGGGAGCATAATATAATATAATATAATAATATAAACTTTTTTTTTTTTGTCAAATAAAATTATATGAAGCTTTTGTCACAAACTTTAACCTATTCGTAGTCAAATTAAAATAAATTAAATATGATTATGTTTAATAAACCGTACGTGTAATAGAACTCTCTCCGAGGAGAATCTTTGTAAGATCCTCCTGGGATAGAAATAGCAGATCCCATCGTCTTTGGTGGTTTCAATGGTCTCTTCTCTTCATCTTCCTCCTCCTTAACAAAATTTCACACCCTAATTATGATAATCAACACCAGAATAATGTAATCAACACTTAATTTTATAATTAACATTATTATTACCTTTGGACAAATCTTGGTACGTCCATGTCTACAAAGTTTGTAGATGTAATCGTAGTAAATAGTTTGGATCACCAATACCACAGTGCTCACTGTGTAAAGCTATAACGAAAGAGTAAAAAAAAAAAAAAAAAGTTACGGGGCTGAATTGTAAATAGCATAAAATTACGCGGTCTAATCACAATAAACAAATCTGAAAAATAGACGCTTATTTTAATGAAAACGACACGTAGGCTCTGTGGCGACATATGTTTATTTATGCGGCGAGAGGACGGCGATGTTACCAAGGCTGTGTAGAACTGAGTCGGCAACTACAATTCAAAATAAGACAAAACATTAAGAAAACAATAATTCTGTATTTATTATAGTTTAGATGTTTGTGTAACTTACAGTAGCTGGTTCAAGAAGACAACCGACGAGATTGAAGATATCACTGCACCGATTGATAAAATTCATATAAATAACGTTATAGAGAGATAGTTTATTATAATAAGAAGAACTTGAGATGAGTGTACGGACCCGGCGACCCAAGCGAGGAGGAAGGAGAGAGAGACACCGTGACTTGACTTTGTACGGAAGTTAGTGATGATCTGAGGAATCTCTGCGACGCCCCAACAGAGGAGGCTAGCAATTCCAAGTGCGAACGAAACGTCATCGTTTAGGTTACATAGACAGTCGTCGAAGTATCTCTCTACCCATCTCACGCATGTCTTCTTCTCCTTCAAGCAGTAACCTAAAGACACCATCTCTCTTTCTCTGTTTAGGTCTTTCTCTCTATGTGTATATGTGTGTGTGTATGTCTCCTCTCTCGGAGGGTCTTGATTATTTTATAGGATTATGGGTGAGGAAAATGACAAATCATAAGGAGATAGGAGAGAGATATATCAGTAAATACATGTATTCATATACTTGGGACCATTTATTTTACTTGGTATATTAGCCACCAAATTAATCTAAGCTTGTTACATTTTACTTTATTAAAATGTTTTCGAATCATTACAATATTAATCTTTTATATTATCATTCTTTGATTGCTTTACTAGTGGATTAAGATGCATTGGCAAGTTGCTTATGTTACTGTAAATCTGTAATTAACATTTTGAAGCGGAATGTAGAGAGATAATCCATACTTGGTAAGATAAAAAGGAAAGATCATAATGTCAAGGGCACATCAAAACAAGAGATTTCAAAAATTAAAGTTGGAGGGTGAAGAAAACGGTTCGATGTATGATTAATAAGCATATTCTCTTTTATCTTTTGATGCTCTGCTGAATCTCTGATGTTCAGCCTTTTTAGTACGGTTTATTAGGTATATTCTTTTTCACGATTCTCCAACATTTGGTATATATTTCTGTACGGTTTATTAGGTAGATTATTGAAAACGTACGCATTAGTTCGGTTGAAAAACTCAAATTGAGTTAAACCAAATCTAATCCGGTTTGGTTATGTTTTGTCTATTCCTTGTACTGATTATTCAAAACAAAGTTTACGATAAATGAATTGGACTAAACTCCATGATGTTGACATTGTATTAGTGTAATACCTGCTGTAATTTTTTTTACTAAATTATTAATTAAGCAAGTTGCAGTTTGTAGTCTATATTACTATTAAAACTTTAGATATTTTCATATAATTATATATCCCCCTTATTGGCTTATTCACAAAGCAAACGTTAAATCCAAATAATTACTACTTGCCTATTGGTATTTGGAAATGTCCGACAAGGTTGTAAATTTGTAATTTTGTGGCGTAGGCATTCGTGCGATTGGCTGCCCCAAAACAACGGTCCACATTTTTTACTGAACCAGAAAAAAAAAGATTATTAAAAAAAATTGAAGGTGCCAAACCAAATAAACTGCGTCGTGGCATCATGTTACGATGATGATGACATCTTTCATGAACCGACTTTCGAATTTAAAGACAACTTTTTTTTTTTTTTAGTGACAACTTATGAACACTAAAAACCAAAAACTAAAATTTTACAACCATCCAAAGTCTAATTTAATTAGACTAGGCGAAAAAAAAATTAATTAATTAATTAAAATTAGACTAATATCATCTAGATGTAGTTTAGCTCAAACGGTTGAAAAGCGACTATCAAATCTAAATGAAAGTCTTGGCCGACAAAAGAAAAAAAATAATTTAAAGGAAAGTTGGAAAGAAATTTCCATGTTTATAAGAACTAGAAGAAAGAAATAGCAAGTGGATTAGTAAAAGTTTAACACTTACAAAGAAATAGCAAATAGAAAGTTTGCCGTCAAAAAAAGAAGTAAAACTAACAAAGTTTAATACGTTGCCACGTTACGTCGTTTTTTTCCTCGACAAGAAATTGTGAACGATCAATTCATTAGCAATCATTAAAAATGACGAGTACTCTCCCAACCATTGATTTTGTTAACATCATACGATATAATGTTAAAACGAAAATATTTAGAAAATTTGAATTCTAGACAGCGATTTTTGAAAAATTAATATGTATATCATGCCAAAGAAGTATGTCCACTAAAACTTGTTCAGTTTAATCGATAGGTAAAAAAACATCAAGAATCCGTTTGGTCTACAACATGAGTATCCTTAGATTTTTTAAGAAATCATTTACTCTTCAGATGAATAAATTTGATCTGGTAATATAGTAAAAACATTATTAGCTTTAATAAAATTTGTTGAAACATAAACGCTTGATAGAGAAATGTTTAGCAAAAAAAGAGAGAAAAAGAATTAAACGGCGACGAGGCGCCGCGACAATTTGGAGGAGGAAGTGGGAAACACGTGTGATCATATAATCCTATCTCTTATGTCTATCCTCATCATATACACATCTTTACATTGTTTTGGTCTTTATCGTTTGTTGATAATATTTATATTTGGAATTAATGATTGAGAATTGACGAGAGACGTTTTCGAAGTTCTATAACAAAAAAACGTAAAACACTTTTAAAACCGTATTTTAGGATATAGTTTGATTTTTGAACTACGAAGTTTGTATCAACAAAGATCATTTACAAACGATAGAAAGATAGAGAATGGCGTTTAGATTTATTTCACAAAGTAATCTGTATTTTAATTAACAGATGGCAATCATGCATACTATAATAATCTAGTAGACGAGGTCAATATGAGGATATTTCTACATTCTACATATTTGACCTTCGTCCTCTCAGCGAATAGAAGAGCCATAATAATATGCAGAATTATGTATATATATGTATATATATATATATATATATATATAATGTGGATATACAAGTCTATCCATTTTCTTTTTCTTCCAGACTTTATCCATTGGTCCTGATAAAGTCAAACTAGTGATTGTAGAAATTTAGATTTTGAAAACATCCATAATCTTTTTTTGCCAAACATTTTGCTTGTTATTTCTTAGATATATAGCAAGTATATATGCATATATATATATATATATATATGTCGTATAGATTTGCTATATATCTAAGAAATAACAAGCAAAATGTTTGGCAAAAAAAGATTAAAAAAAAAACCATGCCAAGAACCTTTGGTCTTGCTTCTTGACTCTTCTTCAATTATACTTAAAAAGTGGAAACTTTATGACTCTTAAATGTGTGTATTTTGTAACCTATACAGTTTGGTTTTTGGTTTTTTTTTCTCAGTCTATACTCTAAAAACTATAACAAAGCTTTTTTTTCTCTCCTTTTATAGTTTGAATTCCATTTAAGGAAATGTACCGGTCAAGCGAATATGGTCGAGGGTTCGCCTCAGACCATGCTTAAGAACTGCTTGGTTACCTTGCCTGAACCCATCCCCATATGCCGATGAAGAATCCGACTCGATTTGATGCTTGAAAAACTCACCAAGTTTCTTCTCAAAATCAGACCTCTCACCTTTCTTCGACGATGCTGACACCACAGCGGATGATGATGATGAAGAAGAAGACGATGCGATATCTACTAATGTAGAGCCAGCATAAGTCTCAGATTCCAACCACATGTGAGCTAAAACCTGACAGATTCCTTCTTCCACTTCTGGTCTAAGATTTGGATACCCTACACATATATATACAGAGCAACAAAAAATTAAAAATACAATAATCTGTCATTTTTTCGATATTTCCCTAGGTTCAATTGCTCAACAATATAAGAAGGGAGTGTTCTTCAGATTACCATTTAGTCGAAGCCACGCATGCATCATTTCATGAGCAAGGATTGACCCAGTTAACAAACTGTACAAGTGTAATACGAATATTTTAGAAATCTCATAAAGACAAAATTTCGGGTTAGGAGTGTGTTGAGAAGTGTTTTTTTTTTTTACCGAGGAAGTCCATATAAAATGAGAATCGCAGTGACTTCACAACGGCGTATCAGCCTGCAAGGCTCTGTGATCATGTCTATTAACTTGTAGCCTGCCCCAATTCTCGGTCTCCTTAACACCTACATCAGGATCTTTCTGATTTAAACGGAATTTGCGGTGGATAGCAATTAAACACGATTTTATAAAAGTGGAAGAGTGAATACCGTGGTGACAGTTTGTTCTTCAGACAAACAAAGTCCTCTAGTTTCAGGTAAATGATGATGTCCCTGCAGCAATTTGGATAGAAGTAGGTTGAAAGCGAGAGAGAAAGAGAGAGTACAAACATAGTATCAATAAGATAGAGGTTTTACGTGTTTCTCTCCTTCCATAGCTTCATTTAGAGCTGATCTCTCCACCAAGAGCATAGGAATTTGCTGTTCCACTTTCATATGTAAGCCTTCGTAAAATTCACGTATCTCAAGGTACAATGGTTGGCATTCATGAGTGTCCATAATGGCTGAGTCGAGACATTCAAGACACAGTTTTCGACCATCATCAAGAATGAGATATTTTGTATCTTTTGGCTGAAACCATGAGCAAAAAACAGAACAACATAAGATTTTAAAATCAGATTCTTAAATTTGTTTTCTTATTAGTAGAAATAATCTATCGAACAACTGACCTCCATTCGCTCACAACTGCAGCACCGAGGAGTTCCATCACGCTCATGTGAAGGACAATACTTTTGCATCCAAAAGGGATGTGCCCTATACTCAATAAGACCAGCTGGATTTGTCGGAATCTAGAGGAGTTAAATTACGCATACACATGAAGCTTAGTACAACCTGGGAACAAACTTTGGGTAAAATATAATCGAAATATAGAGATCAAGAGAAGTTGGCTATCACTCACAAAGTTATGGCAAACGTCACATTTAGGATGATGCTGCTCCTTGTAACATAGTTTGTGATAAGGCCGATTTCCCGACATTGAGAACTGTAAAACAAAGCTTAACAGGTTAAGCTTCACAAGAATCAGAACACAATAATAGTACTTAAATAAAATGTATCGGCACCTCATAATCTATGATGGGCTTATCACATGCATGGCAACAGAAACATTCAGGATGCCAAACGCCACCCATGCAACTCAGAAACCTTCCATGTCCAATCTCAGCTTGGCAACCAGCGCATATCCTCCAAGAAAATAAACAAAGAAACAAAAACTGACTCATTGCAGCAAATGTGATCATAAATCATATCACTATTTTTGAACCCTTTACCTGTGACTAGATGGAATGAGGAAGGGATATGGTTGAAGTATATTTCCTAGATCATATCGAGGAGGAGATCCCACATTCATACTTTCTTGAATGGCCTTGGCGAGTTGCTCATCTTCCTCCAATTGGGCTTTAGCACGCCTCATTTCTTCCTCTTCTAATCGAGCTTTTGCAAGCTGTTTCTCTATTTCTTCTAGTTGAGCTTCGGCTCTCCTTTTCTCTTCTTCCTTGATTTGAGCTTGAGCTACCCGTCTTTCCTCTTCTTCTGCTGCCT